ATTTCATCCACAGTAGAGATTCTTTTGCATTTGAAACCAATTATCTTAAACCCTGTCCCTACTTTATCAGCTAAGTTTATGTAATATTCTCCATCCTTTCTTGTCATTTCGACAGTATTCACAGCATCTTCACCAGGAGTAGGTTCCGTCTCAAGAAACCACTTTCTTTGCCCATTCATGAGAAGCAACTCCTTATCCATTAAAATTTATCATGAGATTGCAGGAATTCTGTGACATCTCCAGATTCTACATCTATTTCTAGTTCTCTTAATGTTTTTACCATATCTGCAGTTACTTCCTCCATTGACATCTAGAGCCACTGCATGTCAACCCTGAGGGTTGGAACCAACTTCTTCCAAACTCCCATTACTATTGATATTCTGATTTCCCATGAGATATTAATGTTTTCATGGTGTTAAAAGACAAAATTTGGGGCCGGGGTTGTGGCTCAGTGGTAGAGCACTCGCCTAGCATGTGTGAGGCCCTGGGTTCAAACCTCAGCACCACACAAAAGTAAATAAATAAAATAAAGATGATATTTTGTCCAACTAAAAAATAAATATTAAAAAAAGACAAAATTACAACAAATCTAGATTTGCAGTTCTTCATTTGTAATTCTAGAATCAGGCAACAGTCTGGACTGTTCAGAATGACCTCTTCTACCAAATGTACATTGTCAATGACAGAAATATTTTTAAATAAATATATCTTTTCCTCTGAGCAATAGGTCTCAGCAGTGAGCAACAAACAATAAGCTATGCAGTTATCCAGGTTTTGTGTTCCACTTGTACAGCATCGGCAGAGAAGATTTAGTATAATTCTTAATGGCCTTAGGATTTTTGGAATGATAAGTAATCACTGCCTTCAATTTAAAGCCATTAGCTACGTTAAGCCCCTAATAATTGAGTCAGTCTGTCCTCTGAAGCTTTGAAGCCAGGCATTGACTACTCTCCAGCTAACAGTCCTAGACACATCTTCATCTAGTACAAGTCTGTTGGATCTCTTCTTTAGGGTAATAACCTTCTTCAATTATTTCTGCTAGAACTTCTGGATGACTTGCTGCAGCATCTACATCAGCACTTCTTGCTTTGCTTTGCAGTTTTATGTCATGAAGATGGCTTCTTTCCTTAAGCCTCACGAACCAACCTCTCCAGCTGCAGACTTTTCTTCTGCAGTGTCTTCACCTCTCTCAGCCTTCCCTGAATTGAAGAGAGTCAGGGTTTTGTTCTGAGTAGGGATTTGGTGTAAAATAAGTTTGTGACTGATTTGACTTTTCATGCAGAACACTAAAATTTTCTTCACAAAATCTTTTGTCCTGTCTCACCTTTCTACTAAGCCTAAACATTTCTAGCTTTGGATTTATTTATTTTTAAAAAAATGTTTTCTTAGTTGGCAATGAACCTTTATTTTCCTTATTTATAAGAGAATCAAACCCAGCATCTCACATATGCTAGGCAAGTGCTCTACCACTGAGCTATGTATGTCCCCAGCCCTATAGCTCTGGATTTAAAGTGAGAAGTGTGAGACTTTTTCTTTCACTTGAACACTTAGAGGCCATTGTCAGGTCATTACTTTGCCTATGTTTGATGTTGTATCTCAGGGAATAGGGAGGCCTGAGGAAGTAAAAACAGATTGGGGACTGGCAGGTAGGCAGAACAGTCAGAACACACAAACTTTTATTGGTCAAGTTCAATGTTTTAGGATTGGGATTTTGGCTGAGTAGTATAGAATTTGCCTACCCTGGACAGGACCATTGTTGGAACCTCAACATCACAAAACCAAAACCAAAACAAAGTCTATTGTTTTATATGCTGTAGTTCGGTGCTCTTAAAACAATTACAATAGTAATATCAAATATTATGGATCACAGATCATAACAGATACAATAATAATAAAAAATTCTGAAATATCATAAGAATTACCAAAATGTGACAGAGATATCAAGTTAGCACATGCTATTGGAAAAATGGTTGTGATAGACTGATTTGATGTTGGGTTGCCACAGACCTTCAATTTGTAAAAACAAAACCAGAAAACCAATGACTTCTGAAAAGCACAATAAAGTGATGGGCAATAAAAAGGGTTATGCCTTTAATTTACAGAGGGTACTATAGTGGATCCCTGGGGAGCTTCAGAGTTTAAGTGTTCCTCCCTCCTGAGTAGTAATGGATTTCCTACCCCTTTGGCATGGTAATTCAAATTCAGGCAAATTTAGGGGAAGTATTTCCAAAGGTTAAAAAAACTTGGGGCTGGGATTATGGCTCAGTGGTAGAGCGTTTGCCTAGCATATGTGAGGCATTAGGTTCGATTCTCAGCACCACATACAAATCAATATATAAAATAAAAATTTTCATCAACAACTAATAAAAATATTAAAAACCAAAAAACCAAAAAACTTGGGGCTTGGGATGTAGTTCACTGGTGAAAGACCTAAGCAACCTCATTCTACTTGAGACCTCATTTTGCTCTGAAATTTAACCTCTGACCTACTGCAGCCCTAAAGTCAGGAAAATACCACAGAAAAGCTCTGTGGAAACAGTTCTTGGAAAAGCCCAGATGGTGATTGCCTAAGATAGGCCAAGATATTGAAATATCTGAAATTCCAGATGGCCCCCACCTAGGTGTGGTGACCAATATCTAAACTAGAAGCCCTTCAGCTTGGCACGTACCCCCTTGTGACATCCGTACCCCCTTGTGACATCCATACCCCCTTGTGACATCTGACATCCTCACAGTTTAAACCAATCAATTTTAAGTGTGTCAACCCCTTGAACTAACCAATAATCCTTTCCAGATTCTTTCCAGCCACGTGATATGCTAATCATGTTTTAGAGTTGTTTTATGATTTTCCCGCGGTGTGTGATGATTTGCTAAGAGATGCTATGGTGTATATGAAGTCCCTGCCTTCCCCGAAGAGTGTATAAAACTGCTGCAAACCCTGGGCTTGGGGGCCTCTCAGCGTCACCAGTTGCTGTGTGCGTGTGAAGGACCAAGCTAGCTCGCAATAAACATCTCTTTGCTGCTTACATCGATCTTGGTCTCTGGTGGTCTTTTGGGGGTCCCGAATTCGAGCATAACACTGGCAGAACTCTTCTCTACCATGTGCAAGGCCCTGTGCTGGGTTTCTGACTCAGGGGTTACTCCAGTTGAACTGAGCTGACTGGACTGCGCAAAATTACCACACAAGAGACACAAGTACCTTTTTCTTTGGGGTCGCTGTGATGGCTCATCCGACCTTAAGGGTCCCAAGGAAGAGAGAGAGCAAGAACATGCTCTGACCCCGTTTATTCAGGAGAAGCTATTCAAATGAGGCAAGGGGTCAGGTTTCAGGGGGCTGAGTCTATCTTCATGATGTCCACTGTCAGCAGGTTGACTGACACCTGGGTAGGCCACACCCAAGGGCACAGTAAAAGAAGGGGACACACACAAGGCACTTCCATGGAAGATTCTATCCTAAACAGGGCAAGGGATTATATTACAAAGGAACAGGTGAGCGTAGCTCCACCCATGGGGCTGTAGCAAAATACACCCATGCACTAGACACCGACCCTCCAACCAAAGAAGGGTGGGGAAAGCTCTGCCACATCTTTGTGACTGAGTGCCTCAGCATCCAGCTGGGGAGTGTGACCCAGTCACGTGCAAGGTTGGTCTCCCACAGTCCTGGGTCCTATTTCCAGCACCACAAAATGTAAAACAAATCAAATCTGACAATACAATGTTATGCTCGAGTTCCGGACCCCCAAAAGACCACCAGAGACTGAGATCCATGTAAGAAGCAAAGAGGCGTTTATTGTGAGCTAGCTCGGTCCTACATGCACACAACAACTGGTGATGCTGAGAGGCCCCGAGCCAAGGTTTGCAGCAGATTTATACAGTTTTTGGGGAAGGCAGGGACTTCACATACATCATAACATCTCTTAAAAAATCATCACACACCAAGGGGAAATCATAAAACAACTCTAAAACATGATTAGTACATTCACTGACGGGAACAAGTTGGGTAAGGGTGATTGGTTAGTACAAGATGGGGGATTCGTTTGAACTGATTGGTTTAAGCCACGAGGGGAGTAGTGCTGAACTATATGGTTTCCCAACATGTTATCAACCACCATAAACTACTGGGAGGGTCATTTGGCATCCCAGGTATTTTCCCTGTCTCATGCTGATTGGTGGTTGCTAGGGGATTGCTATGGGTCTCCACCTAGCCTAACTGAGTCAGGGACACCTGGCACAGAAGATCTCTCTTGTTATTTGTAGATAAACAACTCAGCAGGGTGGGTATGTGCCTAGGAGTGCTCTGTGGGTTTTTCCAAGGACAAGGGTCACGCCCCCTTCCTTGCACAGGCTTTGCTCTTGATGTAGAGGCTGGTTTCTCAACAACAACAAAAACCCTTAAAAATAAACCATCAAAAGCTTAAGTGAATTATTTTCCCTTAAACTTATTGTGTACTTTTTCGAGGACCACGTTTTCTTGTCAAACTAGACTCAAATACCCATGACTATGTTATATCCATTTTTAAAATTTTTATTTATTTTTTTTGTGTGTGTGTGGTCCTGAAGATGGAACCCAGGGCCTCCTGCTTGCCCAACACATGCTCTACCACTGAGTGATACCTTCAGTCCGCTTATTAGTGTTGAAAGCCAATTTTGAAAACACTGCTATTGTGGTGAGGCCAGCTTCAAACTCACCAGGACCTTCTGGAAATCGCTTGTTTCCAAGACTTGGATTAAGTGAAAAGGGCTATTTCCCATGAATCCATGATATACAAGGCATTGTTCTCCCTTGTTACTTACAAGGACACTGGCCAGAAGGGAGCGGTGACGGAAATCGTCTTTGGCCGGCTGCAAACTGCCCCCACCCTGCCCGAGCCATGCTGCAGCAGAGGGGCTCACGTGCCTGTGCACGAGGGGCCAGGTAGCAGCGCTCGCCACCTGCGCGGTCACGGCGCCCGCCCGCGGGGATCTTTGGGCTGGGCCAATCCACGGGGCCGCCCCGGCTGCTCGGCCGTGTGCTGGCGCGCGCAGGGCGAGCTCGGGGCGAGTGGCGCAGGCGTCTTTAGCCTCCCCGCGGCCATGGAGCGGCTGAGGTTGCCTCCCGGCGGCGCCGCGGCAGTGGACGAGTACCTGGAGTACCGCAGGTGAGGCCGCTCGGGGCTCACGTCCCGCCCCTCCGCCGGGGAGAACTCTGGGGCCAGCTCGGTCTCCTTCGCCGAGGGGACTGGTGGCGCTGGCCCTGACCTGCCTGCCAGGCGAGCTCTGGGGATCGGGGAATCTCTTCCCAGGCTGTTGAGGGAGGCCTAGATTAATTTCACATCTCGTCTTGCTGAAATTAAATATGCTGACCCGGAGTTCTGGTCAGCAATCGGGGTCTGCCGCGGCGGTTTGCCTCCCCTTCCCAGAGGGATGTTAACTATATTCGTGCAGAGCCCCGTGGTTTCCCCCATCCCTAGGTGACCCCTGGAGAATCCCACACTGAGCACACTCAGTTAGCAGACCTCGAGCTCGCACGTTATTCCAGTGTTAGGGCAAGTCGTGAACTTCGAACGTGCTCCCAACCCCGAGGTGCTGGTTTGGACAAAAACACCCCAACGGGTGTGGTTTTGATGGCTTTGGAGTCTTGTATCCCAAACAGGAAACACAGCCTCTCCTTTGGCTTGAGGATGTGATTCACTGTCAAGGCTCTGACAAAGGCTGAGGCATTTTAATGGAAGGATTTTTAACCCTCCTCCGTCCCTCCCCCATCTTCTAACAAAAAAATGTTGACAGTTGGAAAACAGACGAATGGGGAATACCGAGAGGCCTGTCAGGAGGATGAGAAGTTGAAGGGGAGAGCTGTGTATAGGTGATAGGTGACACAATCCTGGCTGGGCTTGGGAAACCTTAAGCAGAAGGTGGCTCTTCCTAAAGCTGGTTACTTCCAAAGGTCGGGTGGTGGGGAGGGCATGACGACGATGACGACGGGGATGGGACCAGGGCAGATGGGTTCTTTGGCGGATGGGTTCCCAGCTGACTGCCCAGCTAGTTTAGTTTTGCCCAATGCTTAGAAGTGACTGAAAATTCTGAGCTGGAATCGTGAGATTGTGGAGGGAAATTGATGGGTAAGTCCCCATGTCCTCTTAGGTGGTCTAGGTAAAACAGGTTATAGAAACTACACTCAGCCCTTACCCAGGGCAGGCAGAACCAGCTCCTTTAACCTTCATGTTTTTGTGCCTTTTCCCTGGGAGCAAGTTGCTGAGCCCTGGTGTTGACTGATGTTAGAAATACAGAAGGGCATGCCACCAAAGAAAATCTCCAGCAAGCACACTGGGAGGGCAGTCCACCTGCTTTTATCCCTAAGGCTGTGCTTGTCCTGATAGGAGGAGCCTGGGGTTATAATCTACGTGATTGGCTAATTTTACAATCAGGGTGGGCAAAGGGAAGGACTGTAGGTAAAATGGCTACAATTGGATCTTACATCTCAAAAAGGCTAAAGAGTAAGTTTTGAAAATGATCCACTGAACTTTCCGTTTCTCACAACTTAGGTATTTAGATGTGCGGATTGTGGGCCTCCTCTTGTGCTAGGGGCAGGCCTGTGGGAAATTATTTTTGCAAGCATAAATAGCACTCAACATTTCTCTTTAAAAGGGATTATCAGATCCCTTGTTTAACATCAGGATTTGAGAAAGGCCAGGAAAACCGGACTTGGGTGCCTAGATATGAAAGGGAATCTGAGAGAAGGGTCAAAAAGATGAGTGTCCATCAGAAATGAACTTTTCTTCCTCAGTTTAACTTGATTTGGTCATGCCTCCGTGTTTTGGTGGGGGGCAGTTGGGAGGGGAAGTGTAGAGTTCTTGCTATTTCGTGAGACAATTTCGTGAGACTCTGTCTCAAAATTTTAAAAAATGGCCAGGAATGTAGCTCAGATTTAGGGTGCTTGTTTAGCATGTGCGAGACCATGATTTCATCTCCAACACTGGGGAAAAACATGGTTTATTTTAAGCTCTTTCTGTGGGCCAGGGTTGTGGCTCAGTGCTAGAGGGCTTGCCGAGCATGCATGAGGCACTGGGTTCTATCTGGGCACCACATAAAAATAAACAAAATTAAAGGTATTGTATCCATCTACTACTAAAATAAAATTTTAAAAAATCTTTCTGTTCTCCTTAGATATTCTTGATAGCCATAATAAAGTGTAATGACCCTCAGTTTTTCTCGGAAGAAAATGTCCTTTGGACAGGGATGTTGGTACATGCCAATAATCTCAGCAAATTGGGAGGCTTATGCAGAAGAATGTAAAGATTCTGTGTGACCTGGGCAATTTAGAGAGAGGCTGTCTCAAAATAAAATAAAAAGGGCTAGATATGTAGCTCAGTGGCAGAGTCCCTCTGGGTTCTGCCAAAACGAACAACAACAACAAAAAAAACAAAAAAAAATTTTATAGTATATCTCAATTGCTTAAATAAGGAAGAAGTTGAGGAATTTCATAACTTATGAATTGTTTTTTTATTTTCTACTCAACTAACAGTTTCAAAGTATGGTAAAATGTATGTATTGCATTAAAAAAGTTATGTTGCATTTTACAAATGAAACTTTATGATTTTTAGAGATTAGAGGGCATTTTCATGGAGAAATGTCTTCCTCTTTGAAGACCTTTGTTTAGTTGTACCTTCTTTTCCTCCAGAAAGACAAAATTTTTTCCCCTTAGAAATAGTGATGGCTTGATTTTTCCCATAAAATTTTGGAATCTGAAATTAAGCAATGAAACACCTAATTGTCCAATACACAGGTGTCAGTATGAGCCTGTGCAAATCCAAGCATGTTTTTAGAGCCTACATAAAATTAAACTCCTGGCCAGGGCTTGGGTTCAGGTATGGAATTAGTCATGGTTGGCTTCTTCATTGATTTGTTATTGTTGGTACTATCTTTAAAAAGACAAAAACATTAGATTTTCAGCAGCTTAGGCTCTCGATTTTAATGAGATGAACGAACCTGTCTGACTCAGAATCACAGGAGAAATTGAGATAAATATATAGTAATCTTCCATTGATATGCCTTAATCAGTAAAGGCAGATGATGTGAAATCATTGACTTTTAATTTACGAGAGAAAAGATTTCTTCAATCTTCACTAGGTTCATGGCTGAGGTACCTATGATAAAAGACAGATTAACAAGAGAAAAGCTTGCCAATTTATTTCAGTTTATATGACATGGAGCCTTCAGAAGTGAAGACCCAAAGAAACAGGAGATCTTGTGTGTTTTTATGCTTAGGTTTGATGAAGTGTGGAAAGTCCTGGAGAAGTATGACCAAAGGACAAAAGGGTGTGTCCTAATGGTACAAATTGGGGAGCATTTAGTAAGGCCTATTTGTTCAGATTCTTCTCCCTGTCATGGTATCTCCTCCAGCATGTGCTTTTCCTTCAGGTATAGGGAGGGGACCTCTGGAATGACTGATGTATGACCTACTGCATGGAAGAAGAACACAGGGAAGGTGAGAGTGGCCTTCCTGCTTCTGCTGCTTCCTCAGATGCCAAGGAGTCATGTTTTGGGGTAGCATGGCTGAATGCCATCAGAAGCAAAAGTTTTATTCTCATTGTTTGTAATGTGGCTTTTAACAGGTGTCTAAAACAAAACAAAACAAACAAACAAAAAACCCCAAAGCAGCCTTTCCTTTAACTATACAAGTATAGTTTTAGAGTTTAGTATGTGTAACCTGGAACATTCTCAAGGGTAATAAGACCAATGTTTTCTGTTGTAGAATTGTTGGTGAGGCCGATGGAGGGAAACTTTTTACTCCTGAAGAATATGAAGAATACAAAAAGAAAGTTTTACCTATGCGCTTACAGAACAGGTTATTTGTGAGCTGGCGATCACCAACAGGAATGGATTGTAAACTCGTTGGCCCGGAGACACTGTGTTTTTGTACACATAGGTAACATAGTTTATTGCTATTTTCTCATGACTAGAAAATAAGAACAATAGCAAAACATATTCTCCTTCCATAAGTAATAATGTGATGATTAAGAAACATTTAAAAATAGGTTTTGGGCTGGGGCTGTAAATCAGTGGCAGAGTGCTTGCCTCACAAGTGTGAGGCACTGGGTTCGATCCTTAGCACCACATAAAAGTAAACAAATAAACGCATGCTATCTATCTACAACTAAAAAAAAAAAAAAAACACTTAAAAAATAGGCCTTTACATAAAACAGTAGAAATACCTAAAAGCTTTTTTAAGTTGTCATTAAATTTTTTTGGTTCTATTCTTTTAGATTCATAGACTACGCCTTAAGCACCTCTGTTTTCTTGGTTGACAAGATATTGGTGCTCCTGTGACTCTGCTGTGGATCTTTCAGTTTGGTTAGGAAGCAGTGTCCGCCTGTCCCATACTACCCGTTGATAAACAAGCATTCCTCCTCAAATTTACTAATCACCCTTCCCATCTTAAAGAACAGCTGTATTGATACTCTTTTTTAAGAACCTTTCTTTAGAAATAAAAACATAAGCATACACTGCTTTTGTTACAATGTTTGCTTTTGGTTACAAGGATCATGTTCCAAGAAAATAGAGGCAAAGGAGGTTAGGGGGCTCCAGTCCTTAATGCAGGCTGCCTGGGTCTGAGGTTTGCATTTCTCTGTGTACATGCTCTACTTCAGATTTTTGCTACTGTCTCACAGTTGTAAAGATCAAAATGATCAAACTACTTCACAGAAAGACCACTGAACCTATTATGTGTTTTCAGGCAACAACTTTGATTTTTTGTTCTGAGGAAACCACTAACGGGTAAATTTCTTGTTTTGATAGGAATTCCTGGGGCTCATTTTTGAGAGACTTTTTGTGTAGTTGCTGTTTACAGTTGCACTTTGCCAGAGGTTATTTTAGGCAGTTGCTAGGATGAGTAATGTGTATACAGATTGACTTTAAGTTTATCTAGCAATCTCAGTTAAAAACATTGTGATGGATGGAGGAGAGGCATGTGTTGCTATCTTTTATAACTGAAGAAGGGTTTGTTAATTTTATGATAGTTTTATAATTCTTAAAAGATTTCATGCTGCTTATAGAAAAGATGATTCAATGAAACAAAGAGCCTAAACCTGAAAGTTGATTTTAAAAAAATAAATAAATAAACTAGAAATCATGTTAGGAACCATTTGCATCCCAGAAATATGTAAATAAATTTATTATCAAAATAGTTTATTTGATGAAAAAAAAAGATTTCATGCTAGTTTCTTATCTATATAGCATTTGTAGAGCATGGATTTGACCCTCAAAAACCCAGCCAAATTCAATGGAGAAACTTGTAGTACTGAGTTTTCTACTCAAACTATTTTTTTCCCCTTGTTATCGAAGTGAGACATTGTCATTAAGGAAAATGGGGAGGAATATAGAAAAGTAGAACACACACCACCCAACAGCCAGTTGCTGTTATACTACTAACTTTATCTATGTAATTTTTTCTTTGCATAGTTCATTTAGTTGTTGGTTTTGTATGTATATAAAATATTAAGCTCTTTTTTAATGACAGAATCACAGAAATGTTTATACATTATTATAGTAATCTCAAACGAGATTTTTAATCCCTGCGCGATACTCCAGCTAGCCCAGTGGTGTTCATCATGTGTTCACTGAGCTTTGAGCAAGACTCAAGGGTGCACCAGCTGGAAGGGCAGGTTAAGGGAAGAGAAGGGGGCCTTCAATTCCTGCTTTCATCTATTTTACATACAGTGTTATGATTCCGTGAAAGATTTTATTTGAAGAAAGGGTTTAAAAAGTTTGAAAACTATCCTCTAGTCATTTGCTTATCTAAACCCATATATGTGTGAATATGCATATGTACACTTGTACACATATGGTATATATTTGCTATTATAGATACTATTGTTAATATTGTCTTTATGCACAATGCTTTTTCTTTATGTGTAATTATTTTCTTAGGGTATATTTTCCAAAATGAACTTTCTGTGTGAAAGGATGGCTTTATTAAATTTCTTGAAGCATTGTTAAATGAAGTTGGTTCTTCTTTAACGCTCTCCTCAGCCACTATATGCAGTTGTAAATTACATAATTATAAACTACATGTATTTTTTAAAAAGGTGGCTCTTTTTTCTAAGTGAAAACTATTATGTCATTGTTTAACCTAAATTTCTTAGATCCTTATTAAGAATAAGACAAATTTAATATTATTTTACTAAGTGGCTCCTTCTGAGAAGGAGTAAAAAATTACTAACAATCTTTTAACAGAATTTTAGTTTTTAAAATATCTGAGGTTTACTTTGAAATAAAAGTTAAAATTATATTAAAATAAGTTGCAATAGTACATACATATGGAGCCTACTTCAATTTAAAAATCAAACCATGAAAATAAATTTAAGTAGTGCATTTAATCAAAAGCATTTTTTTAAATACTTATTTCTTTTAATTGTAGTTGGACACAGTATCTTTGTTTATTTATTTGTTTGTTTGTTTTTGTGTGGTGCTGAAGATGGAACCCAGGGCTTCACATGCGCCTACCGCTAAGCCACATCCCCAGCCCCTCAAAAGCATTTTTATAAAGAACCTTTTTGACACTCTCAGGTTATGCATACATATCAAAGGATCTGCATTGATGAGCAAGTATTTTATGTATCTTGGTATTGCTATGAAACTTCTTATATAACTTAAAATAAAAATCTAAAAGTATGAAGATTCCCTCTGACCAAAGCTGACAAATACTGCATACAGGGGAGTTTGTTTTCCTTATTAACAAGAATAGCAAAACCAAACAAAAAAGAATTGTATTTGCATGACAGAATAGAGATTGTAACTTTTGGTAATACCCGATTGTGTTTGTATGTCTTCCCTTTCTTTTTTCAGGTATAAGCAACATAAAACTGACTTTGAAACAATTCCACAGCAGCGCCCTATTGATCTGCCTTGCCAAGTGATTGGCTGCCAGTGCAGGGCTTACCTTTTCGTGCCTTTGAATGGCACGCAGCCTGTTCGCTGCAGATGCAAGCACTTTGCTGATCAACACAGCCCTGCACCTGGTTTTATGTGTGTTTTTAAGTTACACTATTATACATAGCCGCAGGTTGGTTGAATTTCTCTATTATTGAATATTGAATGTGTCTTTGTACCAGTTTAATCAGGTACAGACCTCAATATTAAAGAGCTAAGCAGACTGGAATAGAGCACAGGAGGGAGGGTGTCTATGTGGGGCTAAAGTGGCTTTGGTTAAAACAGAGGTGGATGTGGATAAGGAACTCAAGGAGGACCCTCATTAACTCACACATATTATCCAAATTATTCATGGCCTGGATTATTCCTTATGATCATCCTATTTTATAAGAGTTTCACCCATGAAATTGCATTATATGTGGATTTACTTACACAAAATATCTATTTAATTTACTTACACAAAATGTCTTTATTAGCAGGGCGCAGTGGGGCACACCTCTAATCTCAGGGGCTGGGGAGGCTTAGGCAGGAGAATCTTGAGTTCAAAGCCAGCCTCGGCAATGATGAGGCACTGAACAACTCAGGGAGACCCTGTCTCTAAATAAAATACAAAATCGGGCTGGGGATGTGGCTCAGTGGTTGAGTGTCCCTGAATTCAATCCCCACTACTCATCCTTGGCAATCAAATATCTTTATTAATGATCCAACCCTGACAGAAACAACTCTTCCTATTCTTCTTTTCAACAAAAGCCTAAGAGAGGAGGAGTCAAATGGGCATTCACATCACATCAGTTCATTCAGCAAATAAATCAGAGCACCTACTCTGTCCTAGGCACTATCATTCCAGGCACTGAAATATAGTGGTAGGCATGAGCATGACCATCCTCACTTGCAGTCATAATTCAGTCTCTTGGTTTTTTGGTCTCTTGATATCTGCAATTATCTCTTCATTTTGAATTTTATCTTATCTTGAATTGAAAAAAAACAACTAAGCAAAATTTAATGTATAGATACATAGTTATTGGTATGTTTAATAATCATTAACTCTAACCTCATAAATTAATGGGAATAGATTTTAGAGAATTACAAGACACGATCCAATCTGATTCAAAAATTTAAAAAGTGGGAGTTTAATCAACTAAATTTTTCTTGTTCTTCTCTCCTTCTCCTTCGTCTTTTGTTCTTCTTGTTTGGGGGATCAAACCCAGGGTCTTGTGCATGCTAGGCAAGAAGTCTACCACTGAGTTACACCTGCACACCTGCAGGCCTCAACTAAATTTTTTTCAGATTTTATATATATATATATATATATATATATATATATATATATATGTATATATATATATGTTGTTCTTGTATACAATACCTTTATTTTATTTATTTATTTTAATGTGGTGCTGAAGATGGAACTCAGCGCCTTGCATGTGTTAGGCGAGCGCTCTACCACTGAGCCACAACCCCAGCCCCTTTTCAGACTTTTAAAAAGAATTTCACACATCAAATATTTGAGCTGAGCCAGGCAAGGTGGCACATGCCTGTAATCCAGTGACTTGGGAAGCTGAGGCAGGAGGATCTCGAATTGAAAAGCAGCCTCAGTAATAAGTGAGGTGCTAAGCAACTCCATGAGAACCTGTCTCTAAACAAAATATAAAATAGGGCTGGGTTGTGGCTCAGTGGTTGAGTGCCCCTGAATTCAATCCCTGGTATCAAAAAAATTTTGAGGGGGGGGGGGTTCATATAATTCTCAAAATTTTTCAGATTGGGGATGCTCAATCAGTAGTCTATACAAATATTCCAAAATCCAAAGAAGTCTAAAATCTGAAATATTTCCAGGCCCAAGAACTTTTGATAAGGGAAACTTAACCTCTAAAATATTTTAATTGAAAGGAGTAGGAATGAACATGTTTCAAAGACTTATCATATAAGTGTTGGATAAAGCCGATTTATGTGTCATGGCTCTACATTTTTGAGAGGTATGAGCTGGTAATGATTCTGCTAATGATATATTCTGGCTTCCATTCCAATATGGCTTGTTTTTAATATAAAAACTTCATTTAGATATAATGCACATCTTTAAGACATATAATTTAATGGTTTTAAATGTATTCATCAAAGTGAAACTTGTGCAGGTAACAGCATAATACATTTATAACATTTTCATTACCTTAATAAGAAACTCCATATTTGTTAGTAGTCATTCCTTATTCATACCTCTCTCCACCCCTAGGCAACCACCAGTCTACTTTCTGTTTCTATAGATTTGCCTATTCTGGATGTTTCATGTAAATTGAATCATAAGATATGTGGTCTTTTGTGACTGGCTTCTTGGACTTAGCATAATATTTTCATGACTCCTTGGTGTTGTAGCATTCATCAGTACTATCCTTTGGATCTTTTTTGGGTTTATGGGTTGGTTTTTCTGTATGGCTTTTATCGGAGCTGATCTGTAGGGTATTCCACATGATTTCAACCTGGACCTGCCCTCTGGGCTGTCCCCATCATATGTGCATTTAACTTGGGTTTTGAGGACAGGGCCTGCATTTCCTATACTGCATTCTTTAACTTCGTTACTTTAGTCCCAGCTGGTTTTGCAAAAAAAATCTTTTTCCTTCTATGTACCTTATGTATGCACTTACCACTTCACCATCTTTCAGCAGTAAGAGCAGTGGCCTGCAGGGAGGTCAGGGGCACTGGGATAAAGGGTCAGAGGATCTAGATTCAGCCATCTTTGGCCAAACCATATCCTTTGGGCGGACAGTACAGTCCCTGAACTTTAAACATGTAACGTCTTTTACGTCTTTATTCAGGTTCCAAGTGTTCAGGATTCCATAGCTCTTTCACGTGTGCTTGTGGTCAGCCTGCATATGCCCATGACACAGTCGTGGAAACAAAGCAAGAAAGAATGGCTCAGGGAAAACCAGTGGGACGGGATGTTCCTTATGCAGCAATGGGAGGATTAACTGGTTTCAGCTCACTGGCAGAAGGCTACATGCGATTAGATGACAGTGGGATCGGTAAGTGATGACAGATGAATTGTGATCTTGTCATGATTTTTATGGTGCTAACAGTAGTGAAGTCTTTGTTGAGCAATTTTTGTTCATCATGTTTATTTTTTTAGAAAATATTCCCTCAGTTGATTGTTAATCTTTAGAAGGTTTCATTGCCACTATGTGATACATTGTCATTATATAGAAAATTTAGGAAAAAAACAAGGAAAAAGATCACTTCTACTTCAGTACCTGCACGTATCCCAATTCATATCCCCATTGTTTGTGATAGCCAAATAATGTTTATTTTGTTCGACATGATACTTGTTACCCTATTTTATCCTGTTTTTAGCATTATAATCATCTCATTTTGGAAAACTGTAGGCCTGTGCTCGTGTGTGAATATGTACATTCACCTCATCTATATAAAATTTGTCCATACATGTATGTACCCCCATATATCTTCTGTGTACATATAAGTTTTAACTAACACAGGGAAAGGTTTAATAGGATATATTCTAAACTCTTGAAGGTAGCTGTAAACTTAAGAGAGTTGAGGGGGATTTGGGAGGTGAATATGTTCCCTGTCTACATTAAACACTTCTATGTGAGAATTTTATTTTCTTTTTACAAGATGTATTTTATTTTTTTCATTCAAAATTATGTAAACATACATGTATACTTTCTTGTAAAACTTCAAACAATAGAAATGAAATATAAAGTCCCATGGTACACACTTTTCGTTACTCCAGTTTCTTTCCCAGAGAGTAATTTGCTGTCATTAACTAACTTAATTTTCTCGTAAGCATACATTTTAGGTTACCTCTTTTTCTTAGAAAAATTTTGAAGGCCTATTATCAGGAAACATGAATTTATGTCATTCTTTTTCATTGTTACACAGTATTCCACACTGGAGTTTATCAGTTTAGCTATTTCCTTGTTCATAGCATTTAAGTTTCCATCTTTTTTGCCATTACACACAATCTTGTCTAGAAAAATACTTGAACTTCCTTCCTTGTGTCCTTTTATGACTTTGACTTTAAGGTAGCTATAGGGAAATAGAATTGCTGGGGTGAAGTGTGTGCTCATGTGAAATTTTAATACGTGCTTAAAACAAGTTGTCTTCCCAAAGTGCAAAACTTCTTTTTTTCCCTAAATATTTATTTTTTAGTTATAGGTGGACACAATATCTTTATTTTATTTTTATGTGGTGCTGTGGATCAAACAGTGCCTCATGCATGCTAGGCGAGTGCTCTACCTCTGAGCCACAACCCCAGCCCCAGAACTTGTTTTGTTTGTTTGTTTTTTGTTTTGTTTGTTTGTTTGTTTGTTTGTTTGTTTTTTGGTGCTGGGGATTGAACCCAGGACCTTGTGCATGCAAGGCAAGCACTCTACCAACTGAAGGTATATCCGCAGCCCAGAACTTGTTTTTAATTCCTCTCATGGTGATTCATCTGACCTACTTTCTCACATTTGAGCTCATCATTGATATTATTAAACTTAATTTTTGCCAGTCTGTTGAGTGAAATTGTTTATTGCTTCAATTTGCTTTTTCTCACTTTGTTATTAGTGAGATGAGGATCTTTTCATATATATTGGCTGTTTTACTTTCTGTGAATTGTCTGTTCATATTTTTGCTTGTTTTTCTGTGTTTATCTTTTTTCATTGATTTATGCAAAGTCTTCTTTATTTATTCTGAAAACTAATCCTTTCTTTCTTTCTTTCTGTATATTGCAGATATTTTCTCCCAATCTGTCACTTTTTTAAAATCTTTTCTTTTCTTTTTTTTCTTTTCTTTTTCAGTGTTGGGGATCAAACCTAGGGCCTTGCACATTCCAGGCAAATGCTATACCACGGAGCTATATCCTTAGGCCCATCTTTTAATCTTAGGGGAAAAAAGTCACAATTTTTAAATTTTGGACAGGCCTTCCCTATTCAAATTTATTTTTTACTCTAATTTTAGAAACATACTCTTCTTCATTTTATCTTAATATGCAATTACATTTTTAGCTTTTTCAGGCATCTGGAATTATTGTCTTTTTTGTGAAACTATGAGGTAATTATGTCTAACTTCAGGTTTTGTCCAAATTGGTAGACAGTTATCCAACACCATTCTTTGTCAAATAATAGGAGACTTTTTCATAGTCTATCACACTTGTTATTTTGTATTGCTGTCCTATTTGTCTGTCCTGTGCCAATATTATGTATACAAAATTTTGATGGCTTCATGGTGTTTTGATATTTGTTCTTCCTCCTGTTTATGTTCATTTTCTAAGATTGTCTTGATATGTTTATGAATTTTTCTACTCTAGATAGTTTAGACATCTAACTTGTTAAATTCCGTAAGTAAAGAAGAATTTGCAGTTTCAATAGGTACATGATTGTAATAGGCTCATGTATCAGCTACAGAGAATCCAAATACAAGTACAAAGATAATGATGATGGTGGAGGCTTTGTGCCAGGGGTTATTCCAGCCGTTTCATGTGTATTTCCTCATTTAATCCTCCCAACAACTCCATGGGTTAGAGTAGTCTTATTTTACACACTAGGAGACTTAGCACAGAGAAGTAAACAACTTCCTTTTGTTTTTTTTTAATATGAGAGTTTTATGGTTATACATAGGAGTTGGGTTCATCTGGATATATTCATGCATGCGTAGAAACTGATTTCAGTTCATAATCTCCCTGTTCCTTTGCCCTTTTCCCTCCTGTCCCACCCCCTTCTCCTTCCTCTACTCTCCTAGACTTCCTTTCTCTTGCCTATTAGTGTTTGATTGCTTCTTTAGGTCATCTTATTCTTCCCTCCCCCTTTCCTTTCTTTTACTCTAGCTTCCACCTATAAGAGAAAACATTCGACCTTTGAGTTTCTGAGTATGGCTAATTTCACTTAGCATGATGCTCTTCATTCCATCCATTTACAAGCAAATGCCATAATTTTCATTCTTTTTAATGATGTTTAGGACTCCACTATGTGTGGAGTGTATAATACAACCATATAGTAAGTGTGGGATATATACCACAATTTCTTAAGCCATTCATCTATTGAGAAGTAAGCAACTACATAGAAGTTAACAACTTGATCTGGGTTCTTCAGCTAATGTTTGGTTTCAACCTACAGAACGCTATGGCCTCCGTAGTTGGCCTCAATATTTCTGTACAATTTACCATATTGTTTTTGTTAATACAACCATATAGTAAGTAAATTAATTAATTTATGGCTTAATTTTATTACTTCAGAATTTTTCTGAGTCATTCTTTCCTTTTAATTTTTACTGAATTATAGCATCGTTTGTGAAATTATAAAAACATGAAAAAGAGCATACTACAGGGACATAGCCACATCAATGTTTATAGCAGCACAATTCACAATAGCTAGAATGTGGAACCAACCTAGATGCCCTTCAATAGATGAATGGATTAAAAAAATGTGGCATTTATACACAATGGAATATTACTAAGCACTAAAAAATAACAAGATCATGGCATTTGCAGGGAAATGGATGGCATTAGAGAGGATTATGCTAAGTGAAGTTAGCCAATCCCTAAAAAACAAATGCCGAATGTCTTCTCTGATATAAGGGGGGTGTCTCAAAATGGGATAGGGAGGAAGAGCATGAGAAGAAGCCTATCACTAAATAGGGAAGAGAGGTGAGAGGGAAAAAGAGGGAGAAGGGGAGTTGCACGGAAGCTAGAAGGAGAACCTCATTGTTATACAGAATACATATATGATGTTGTGATGAGAAAAAGAAAAAAAAGTGTGTCACATTAGATTGGATAGAGAGAAAGGATGGGAGGGGAGGGGAGGAGTAGGGGGGATAGGAAGGGCAGCAGAATAGAATACACAATATGATTGATGTATGTACATTCCATGTATGTATTATATGTCAAAATACATTCTGCTGCATGTATGACTAAAAAAATAAAAATAAATCGTATGGTTAAAAAAAATTATAAAAATATGAATTATCATTTTAATTGAAATCACATAGAATGTGTAGATTGAGGTAGAAATAATTGATATTTTTGAAATGTTGTCACTTATCTTCTGTGAAGCTACGTGGGATTCTGAATTGTTTTTCTAGAAGTCCTGCACAGTTCTTAATTAAGTTTATTTCTAGTTATTTAATCTCTTTTTCAAATAGCTATCCTGGGTTGGAGCTATAGCTCAGTGGTAGAGCAGTTGCCTACCACATGTGAGACTCTGGGTTTGATCCGAAGCACCACATAAAAATCAATAAAAATAGGGCTGGAGTTGTGGCTCAGTGGTAGAGCGCTCATCCCGCATATGTGAAGCCCTGGGTTTGATCCCCAGCACCACATAAAAATAAATAAATAAAGGTGATAATAAGAGAAAAAAATCAATAAAAATAAAGATATTGTGTCCATCTATATAACTAAAAAATAAAATAAAAGAGGTATCATGCATGTTTTTTCCTCCTTTGTTTTCTGTTTGTTTATAAAAAAGCAAATGTTTTCTGCTATTTTTATTATCAGTCTTATTACTTAATGTTAGAGTTATTAAACATATTTTTAATGGTATTTTTGCCTCTTTCCAATATTTATGAACCTCTTACTTTGATTAATTTAATGGCTACTACTTTCAGAAAAATGCCAAACAACAGTGATAGTAGCTGGCATCGTTGCCTTTTTATGATTTCTAGTATTTTATCACCCAAGTATCTTCATAGTATTCAGAAAGGAAAATCTCTCCTCTTGGCCCCTGAGGGAATAGAGGGAGAAGGTACGGAGAGGTGAGATTGAGGAGAGGAGATATATGCTTCCATACTTTGTTTTTGTCGTACAGTCAAGTGGGGGGGGGGAGCCCAGGGGTAGAGGGGCCCTGTAGCCATGTAGGCCCTTAAATAGAGGTGACCTCTGGCTGGGATGCAGTTCCTTTATGGTACACAAGGACCATCATTCCTAGCTCTCAGGGAATGCTTGTCAGGTAGCTCAAATGTGAGATAATGGTAATGCCATGACATCTGTCACAGGGGGACAAGGTGGCCCCAGGGCCAGAACTGAAGATGGGTCGTAAGAGCCAGGGGATCCCATAGAAGAAGTGGCAAGCTTTGAGGGAGTCTGTACTTCTAGTGAGAGTCAGTATGAGGCCACCAGGTCCTATCAAGCTGAGGAACCAAATGACCAGTTAGGCCATCCTTGAGCATCTGAGATCAGCAACACATGCATCAACCAGAGGACAGCACCAGGGCCTGAATGGGCCTGAACCTCCCCTCCCACTCCTATATTCTCATGTGCCACATGAGAGAGTGGCTGGGGACAGGAAGGGGGCCAAGAATTGGAAGGGCTGAACAATTTTTCTATACTGTTCACATTACAAGATGGGACTAACTTTAAAACCATTTAGGGCTAAAAGTTTCTTTCCTTCCCTGTGCCCATATGTGGGGACAGGGCTGTGGGGAAGTGGTAGTTTTGGAGGAAGTGCACATTTTCTCTTTACTTTTCCTTTTGGTCCAGAAGTCCAGGCACTAAGCACCAAGTCCAGGCACTAAGGTCTTTGTAATTTGTGGTTTGGGGATGGTGGATATTTCCTTAAATCACTGGAGAAGGAGCTTTCTTCTTTATTTTTTATACTTTTTTAGATATATTTTTAGATCAGGAAAAGATTGAAAATACACTTATTCTATCCTCGTCAACCAGAGGTTTCTTATAGTGAATGTTGTAACTATATTAGGGTTTAGTAATTTGCTGACATAGGTACATTAATGGACAATATTTTTTCATAGAAAAAAATGTTTTGGAGAAAGGTGTTGAAAAATGCAAAAATACTTTTTTTTAACCATTTTCCTTTATGTCACAGATAAAAATTGAAATAAAAATTCCTGTGTGTTTTTTTTTTGTTGTTGTTGTTTTTTTTTTTTTTTGAGATGGGATTTTGTGTTGCCAGGACTGGTCTTGAACTTCTGGGCTCAAGTGATCCTCCCACCTCAGCCTCCTGAGTTGCTGGGATTATAGGCATGCATCACTGTACCCAGCTAACATTTTCTTTTTTGTAGAAAGGAGTTTTCTGCTGGGCATGGTGGCACATGTCTGTAATCTCAACGGCTTTGAAGGCTGAGGTAGGAGGATGACAATTTCATGATCAGCCTAGGCAACTCAGAGAGACTCTCTCAAAACAAAACAAAACAAAAAGTTTGCCAATGAGTCTTCTTAGATTCTAATTTACTTCACATTAGACACGATAACTTGTGTGTATCCCTGTAAGTACAGATTTTCATTCTGCATGTGTTTTGTTCTCAGGTGCACCTTCAGTTGAATTTTTAAATTCTCCAGTTACTGCCATGGACCACGCGTTTCTAAAAGCATTGCAAGGACCATCTACTTCTTCTCCAGAAACACTAACAAATGGTAATGAATTAGAGTGAGAAATATTTTTGGACATAGTAAGAATACTGAGCTTTGGTTTCCTTCCTAAGCTTCTCTTCTTTCTACTATTATGTAACACAATTTGACCTCAAAGTTAGCCTTTTGTTTTACTTTTCTTTTATATTGGCACACACTGCAAGAAAGCAAGCAACTTCATTTTTTATTTGGGAAAAAATAGATAAATCTGAGAATAACAAGGAATCTGATAATAATAATATAAATTAAAATTTAGACCTTTTTCTGGTTCTATGGCTCTGGTGTTTGAATCAGAGTGCCCTCTAGTGGACTGATTACCTCCATTCTTTGGATTCTCCCCAAGGGTATGTAATCCAGTGATAACCATGGGTTAGGAGGATTTTGCCATTCATATATTAAGTGCAAATAAATTCATTTTAAACAACTAGTATTCCATATTTCATTTATTTAAAAAGAGAATGAAAACATTGAAGATAGAAATCAAAAGGCTTTTTGGTTTTTGTTTTGTCGGTGGTGTGCATCCTACCTAGGGCTCCATGCAGGCTGGGGCAAGTGCTCTGGAAATTGTATGGTATATTTTAGGTTTTAATATTTTAAAATGAGAACTTTCTTTGACTTTATTTGTATCTTCATACACCCTGACATTCTCCACAAGACATTCTAATGCTGCTTATAAAATCAACACTCAATGAAGCAATAATTGAATGTAAAAATTGAACAACAACAACAAAAAAAAGACAATCGTGGCAGCTTTCAAGATTGATATAATTGCTGCATTAAGCCTCAGTTTAGACTGAGTGTAATGGCAGCCACGGCATGGGGCAGGTGAGGTCGATTAAGTCCTTTCAACTTATTGGAAAGGAGAAAGCACAAGTTTCCCAGTGTTGATGCATGGAATACCAACACTGAATTTTAAAGAAGTTTGTATAGTGATCTTCAGTGATGCAGTGGCCAAGGACATCCAAAAAGAGCTTTCGAGAGCTACTTTTCAGCAAGTATAGACTATACATGCTAGTTTTCTGTAGTCACCTCTGGTAAGAGTGATCATGTACCATTAAAATGCAGGTCTGGGAAAGGGAGTCTGCAAGGACATAGTTTAAATGGCCCAACCAGATCCAGGAATAGACCCAGAGTTTCCAGAGGTGTGGATTTTCCTTTCATATTGTAAGCTTTCTCAACAAAGCTTTTGTGAAAGATAGTTGAGATATGGTTGCACCCTGTGGAAACTTACTGGGGGTTAGATGCTTTTATGGTTGCTGGTTGAGGGTGAATTTATATACTTTAGAAACCAGAAGAACAGATGTCTAAGTTGCTATTTTGTTTTGGAAATGAAAGCACCCAATGAAGACATTCATTTGTACTGAAGGTGAACTTTTCTCCATAGGCTTTTAGAGGATCTACAACGAAAACTAGATTCTCCTTACTGAAGCAGTTTTAAATTTCTTTTAGCCTACAAGCTAGTACTTCATTAATTTTACAAAATAAATACTATGAAAGATGGCTAAAATTCAAAGCGGATAGTATCATCATTTGATTGCCTATTCAAGGCTTCAGTAAAGCCTCAGTAATGCAGACAGCAATGCATTACATCATGCATTTATCATACTTTTGTATTATATTATCCTTCATGTACAAAGCATAGCATGGATTTCTAGTTGTAATGTCAAAAGTTGGACATAGCTAAGTGTACTCATATGGAATAGCTACGTTGCGTTAATACAGCCAGTTGAATATTTGAGAGAATGTTTGCCGCTCTTGGTTTACTTCTGTCTTGTGATGCCATGCTTTCTTAAAAAGAATTAGGCATTGGGACTTCTTGGGCCATTTCTCATTCAGAAAATAAAACATCACCTAGCAGGAAGAAATATTTCATTGTATTTTTTTTAATTCTGGGGGAATATATGTCATAAATATGTCATTACTTAGTTTTTTTCCATGTCAGTAGGTACAAGTAGTCAAGATTCTTCCTTAAGGAGACCTGATGAGGATGACATGGCTTTCTTTGAAAGGCGATATCAGGAAAGGGTAGGTTTTTAAGGAAATTCACTGGTATTAAGCATTTACTTGTAACAAATACACTATAGAATGATTATACTTTGAATGTGGAATATAAAAAAAAATAATTTGCAAAGTCTTTACTTATAGTTGGTGTTAGGCCTGGAGGTTTACATAGAATAATTCAGAAAGAAGCAGGACAAATGAATAATGTGATATATTCTACGATTGATTTATAGAGGTCATAAACATTGATTAAATATACAAATAAAATAACAATATCAACTGTCAGCATATTTGTAAATTATATGGACTCTCCTCTTCCCTGCTGCTGGGAATTGAGCCCGGGGCCTCACTCATGCGAGGCAAGTTTTGTACCTTTGAGCTACAACCCCATCCTCTATGTGTATCTGGAATTTGTGTTTTTTTAAGTACAAGGTCTATTTATTTTTTAATTTAAAGTATGCAACTGTCAGGGAGAGGGGATAGAGAAAGGTTGGTTAACAGGTACAGGGGTGTAGTTGGGTAGAAGGAATAACTTCCAATATTCTGTAACATAGGAGGATTCCTATGGTTGACAACAATAAAATGTACATTTCAACATAGCAAGTAGGATTTTTGAATGTTCTCAACACCTAGAAAAAATAAATGTTAAAGGTGATAGATATGCCAGTTACCCTGATGTCATTACACTTATGTATAGGTAGTAAAATATCACACTTTGCCTCATGAATATATACAATTATGTGCTCATTAGAAATAAAATATATGTATCATAAAAAATTATAAATTATCTGGGGCTGGGGTTGTGGCTCAAGTGTTAACGCACTTTCCTGGCATGCGCAGGGCGCTGGGTTCGATCCTCAGCACCACATAAGATGTTTTGTCTACCGAAAACTGAAAAATAAATATTAAAAAATTTTCTCTCTCTCTCTCTCTCTCTCTCTCTCTCTCTCTCTCTCAAAAATGATAAATTATCAAATGAAGATTGAATAAATTGAATTCTTAATCTGTACTATTTTTTTTAGTGTTTTTTTGGGGGGTTTCAAGTTAAAATTACCTGATAGCTTTAAAAAAAGAGAGATCACTAAACAAAGGTCTTAACAATTGCTAGGACCCAAGCAGTGTGGTGTGATGTGTTCCCACTTTCAGTGATGGCCAGTTTCATCACTTCTCCCCAGAGCGTGAAGGCCTGGAGAAGAAACATAGTGTTTTGTTCATCCTTGTATTTTTCCTAGTGCTTAGTGTACTGCCTTATATGTACCAAGTTTTGCATAAGTAATTATTTATGGAAAATAAAAAAAATTAACACATAATTGACATTTGCCTTCATGGATGTCAACTACAAAGACCTTTTTTATACTTCCAAAAGTTTCATAGCAGGGCTGGGGATGTGGCTCAAGTGGTAGCGTGCTCACCTGGCATGCGTGCGGCCCGGGTTCGATCCTCAGCACCACATACAAACAAAGATGTGTCTGCCGAAAACTAAAAAATAAATATTAAAATTCTCTCTCTCTCTCTCTCTCTCTCTCTCTCTCTTTAAAAAAAAAAGTTTCATAGCAGTGTTCATATTTGAGAAATATGACTTTGGTTTTTGTTAGATGAAAGTCTGTTGGCTTAAGGCACTATGAGGGATGGTATTTCAGCTGTATGACAGAAACTGCTTCCTTTAGGACTGTTTACTTGTTAGGGTATTATTATCTCTCCAGCTAAGTAGCAAACTCCATAAAAGTAAAGACTCCTGCCTCCATTTTTTTCTTTGTGGTGCTGAGGATCAAACCCAGGACCTCATGCATGCTAGGTAAGCATCTGCCACAGAACTACACTCCCAGGCCTCCATTCACTTTTTGTTATGTTTTCTTAGACAAGAGCTCATTGAATAACCTAAGATATGAAAAAAGAATACTAAATAAATTTACCATCCAAGAGCAAAGGAAATGAGTAAGAGATATATTAGCTTGGCTTTCCTGATGAAGACTTTTGAAACAAATGGGGAGAGTCCTGATCAGTGTTTAAGGCTTAACTGGACAGTAGAACTTTTTCGAGATGGAACTATATGTGCTATAGCCATTTACCATAAGTGCCTCCATGAGTCTAAATTTAAATGACTTAAAATTTGAAATGAATTACTTCAGTCACACTACCCACATTTCAAGTGCTTAGAAGCCACATGTGGCTTGCGGATGCCTTTTTTTGTAGCCCCATTGAGGTTAGGGCTTATAATGAAACTGATCTTCATTCTTGGAACACACAGATATTAAACATTTCTACTTTCCTGAAAATTCTTTTGGAAAGCTCTGGCTTAAGTTTGTCTCAGTTTGTTGGGACTGCTGAAACAAAATTCCTAAACTGGGTGGTTTGTATACAATTTTATTTCTCAGTTTTGGAGGTTGGGTGTCTTAGATCTAGGTGTGCAATTACAGTGTCTGGTGAGGGCTGCCTTCTGATCTACAGATGGACCTTCTCATTATGCCCTCACGTGGTAGACAAGGCAAGGCAGCTCTCTGGGGCCTCCTTCACAGGGCACTAGTCCCATGCACAAGGTGCCAGCTCTCATAACCTAATCCTTGCCTGTAGGTCCCACTTCCAAAGTTTCAGCATATGAATTTGGGGGTGGAGGTCAGAAACTTTTAGACCATAACAAAGAGAAAAGAGGTAGTAGGAGGACATCAGGGAGGGAGATGAAATGTCCAGAGTGATTTTTTTAAAAAAATACTTTTTTTGTAGCCCCATTGAGGTTAGGGCTTATAATGAAACTGATCTTCATTCTTGGAACACACATATTCACAGACTGATTTTAATTGTTCTGGGTTCTAGAACTCTATGTCCTCCAGAGGCCTGGGTAGTGTGACAGTGTTGAAGACATGCCAGTGTATTTGCTTGTGGGAAGATAATGAAAGGAGTTCTTATTTATGAATGTTTTAAAGGATATTCCAGGCCCATCCAGAGTGCAGTAAACCTGGAGTGTCTGGATTTATGAGATATAGTTCATAACTCTCCAGCCTGTGTGATTTATGGCTTTATGAGACAACTTATAACCTGTCTAGCCTGTATGATTTTTTTATTATTATTAATTGTTCAAAACATTACAAAGCTCTTGACATATCATATTTCATACATTTGATTCAAGCAGATTATGAACTCCCATTTTTACCCCGTATACATATTGCAGATTCACATCGGTTACACATCCACTTTTTTACATACTGCCATACTAGTGTATGTTGTATTCTGCTGCCCTTCCTATCCTCTACTATCCCCCCTCCCCTTAGCCTGTATGATTAATGGTGTTCGAATCTAAGAAAGCCCAACAGGAATGATTTCCTCTGAGTTGACATGTATCTCACACATCAGTAGTCCTTGTCTTTTACTCCAGAACTGTTGAGAGGAAAGGGACAATTAGCAAACTGTATCTCTTGGTTCAGGATCCCTCTCAAGAGCAGTGCTATGTGGGTATCTGGGTTTTGCTTCTATCCTTTGCCAATCACTGGTAACATTTGGTGTGGGAAGAATCTTATAATAAAAGTAAGTTGGTTTGGACAGTTGAAGCCTTGGTGGTAACATGGTTTACCAGCTACTTTCAGAGGTTATTGAGAAGTTGCTTCTTTTATATATCAGGTCAGATTATTTTCTTCTGTTGTGATGATGATGCTTCTCTTTTCCCCAAGAAAGGAGAATTTTAATAAGGAAATAAGTTTCAAAGATCTGCTAGGTGCAAGGCACTTTATGCAGGAAATAAATTTTTTAAACTTTTTTTTATAACTTTATCTTACTTATTTATTTATATATGATGCTGAGGATCAAACCCAGTGCCTCACCAGTGCTAGGCAAGCACTCTACCACTGAACTACATCCCCAGGCCCAGGAAATAAATTTTAAAAGAAAGGGAAAAGTAGCAGAAGGAGGTAATTAGGACTCAAGATGGATGTATTAAGTACTATTTTAAGTGAGCAAACACTGCTTTTGTTTGTTGTTTTGCATTTTTGCTGCACTTTAAAAAAAAAGAGTTAATATAATTGGGCATGGTGGAACACACCTGTAAGCCACTCAGGAGTCTGAGGCAGGAAGATTGGAAATTCCAGGTCAACCTCAGCAACTGAGTGAGCCTTGTCTCTAAAATAAAAATAAATAAATAAAAATGCCTGGGGATGTGGCTCAGTGAATAAAGTGACCCTGGGTTCCATTTTCAGAAGTTGTTCCTAGCAAGTGTTACTGCAAATCTAACATTTGGCTTTAAATGAGAGGAGACAGGGGAGCAGCAATTGTTGAGTACTTATTGAGTATCCAGATCTTTATCTATATAATCTTACTTATGCCTTCAGAACAAGCTTGAGACGTAGCTATTATTACTATGCCTTTTTTTTTAAACAAATGAGAAACTATTGGTTAAATTACTTGCCCCAAATCTTTAATAAATGGAAGAGATAGAATTCAAATGCTCTTCTTTTCACCTCCAAAACCTGTAATCTTTGCCTTAGAGTAGGGTGTCCTTTGGAGGTCCTTCAGATGACCTGTTGACTGATAACAGTGTGTGACAGTGACATGAATGCATGGTTCCTGAATGAGGTTTGTTTCACAGAGGAGAGAGAAAATAATGAGGGAGAAGTACAGGTTAGATTTATTACTTTTATTATTGGGAATTTGTTGCTTTGATTTGATGGGATTGGATAGACTGGTTTTACCAGGTTCCTCCTGGTTTCTTCACACTATCTCTCCCAGGTTGGAAGCTAGGAAGCCTTGTCTCCACCTGCCATGCCCTTTATTTTCTGTCCCCTTCTTTGGCCTATGAAAATTGGGGTGTGTGAATATGAGTGGGGGTAAGAAGCAGGTGGGCGTGTGTTCTGCTTTGTGTTCTTTAATCCCATGGGAAGGGTTTACATGTGTCTGAAATGTTAGAAGGCCACCACTTTGGGAATGTATGTGGCTGCTTTGCTTGAACTCCAGTGGAGGAGGACAAGGCCTTTGGGAAGAACACTGTGGGAATATAGACACCAGAATTACAGGGAAGCATCCTTAAAGGAGTCCAGGTGTCAGAGACAGTCTGGCTGGCTTAGGTGCATTCTGTAACTGTAGGCAATGTGCACAGGCTGGATGTATAGTTAGGCTTTTAAGTATTAAAAAAATTTCTTTAATAGCAGTTCAAATTAATTGATCCTCTCTTCTAAAGCAATATTTATTTATATATTATTTTTATTAAAATGCTTCTGTAAAGTTAAAATCACAGCACTTAAAAACAGGCAATCATGTCTCTTTAAGGATCGGATTTTGGCTTTAGTATATGGCAGCTTATTAACTGTGTGGCATGGTTGTGATAAATAAGGCCTGAATCCAAATGAGGTATGTGCAGTCTTTTGTTCCTTAGAATGGTCTACTACTTAGTAAATAAATCAATGTTTTAAATTTACAGGTAAAAATGGAAAAGGCAGCTAAGATGAAAGGACAATCTCCGTTGCCATCAACTACAAAACCTTCGTGAAGGCTGTTGGACAGCTTAAAACCATCATGCAAATATGTCTTTCTGCTCATTTAAATGTAATAATAGAGTTTATCTTCTCTCAAATTATTTACTTTTTAATTGTGTAAATATGTCTTTTTGGATGTTTTGTTCATTTATTGAAAGGAGAAATTGTCTTATATTATTTTGATTGAAATAATGATTTACTACTTTGTATATACTTTTTCTCTCGGGTAGAGAAGTTAGGATATTCTCATAGAAGTCAAACTCTGAAAATACAGTAAATATATTTAGTCTATTATAATTTAACTTTTCTAGCCTATTTAACAAATTAAAGATATAATCAATGTTTTTTAACAAACGTGTCACTTTCTCATTTAAAATTGTAAGTTAAAATCATTAATTTTTTCTTTTACAAGTTTTGGAAGGTCAATTTATGTTTTTAAATTTAAAAAACTGCATTTTATAATTATGGAATAATTTTCTAGAGTTATCCACTGATTTTTTTACACTGGTAACTAACTATCTGCTGTATAAAGAAAGAGGAAGCAAGAGCACAAAGTACACAGAGGGCTGATTCTGTAGATGGCAAGATCACTGAGGGTCCAACTGCATGTTCTGGGGCCAGGCCAGAAAGTCACACCAGACAGGAGAGAACCAAGAAGCAGAGTCTATGTATGCCATTGACACTTTGGGTTCCTGACAACTAAAAGGAGACTTGGGAAATTGTAGTGGCACCCCCTTTCTCCACAGAAAATCTTAACTGCGTTTTTCCAGAAATCTTCACCATGGCTGATTTTAGGACTGTCAATAAAATAGTTCAATGAGATAAACTTCCTATTTTCCTGTTGCCCTAATTTACTTGGCCCATAGCCTGGAAGAAATCTACACTCCAGGTACTGTACACCCCCTTACTAGTTTTTCACAAACATGTATCCAGTATAGTAGTTTGCCGAAATGTGTAAACAAGGCCTCTGGCCTTGAGCTGGGGCTCAGAGATGTCTACATTTCTGAGATAAGAGAAGTTACCAACTGGCTGGCAGGGGGAGGGAAGAAGGGGAGAAGAAGCTCTCCCCTTCTCAGGTGTTGTCCTTGAAGGGTTAACTTGCCCAAAACAGTGAAAGAAAAATTGCTTTTATGTGAACTTCTTCAGACTGTGAACTTCTGAGCCCCTCCCCTTACATGCTGGGTATAAAATTCTGAAACTACCTGAACTAGTAGTTCATGAAACAGTTTTCTTTGGCTACAGCCAAAGAAAACTGTTTCCTGCTATCTTCGGTGCCTTGCCTTGTCTGTCCCTACAACAAAATGGAGCCTTGGTTTGTGGCTAGAGTTGGTATTTTGGGATGCTGAGTGACATTTATGGCAATGGGAGCTAGGAGCAATACCAGGGTACTTAGATGGATCCAGGTTTGTGTGCCGGCTCTGTCATTATCTGTGTGTCTTTGGGCACTGCACATGGCATTCTTTCCTTATGAAATGAGATGATGATACTAGTATTTCCAACTATTCTGGAGGGGTGAGTGTGTGTGTGTGTGTGTGTGTGTGTGTGTGTGTCTGCATGCGCGCACTACTTTACAAATTTATTGTAGGGAAAAATTACTTTTCTACACACACTTTTATGGTTCTGCTTTGTAAAACCCAGACAACATCAACAGAGGTCAGAATTATAAACAGTCCCTTCTACAACCTTATCAAGACTAGAAATTCCCAAAGTTCAAAAAGTAGAAAAACATAGGTTGTGAGGAAGTGTAAGGAGAGCAGGAGCTGAGCAGCTAGCTATTCAAGGGGGGCTAAGCTCATCCTTTTTGCCATGCACTCGAATGCATTTAGATTCTATAGCAAGAGGGGCTTATTTTTCTTGAAACTATCTTCTAGAGGATACTAGTATAATACCGAAAAGCGTACCTTAGTATAGAATGAGTCATCAATCCACTTAATGAGAATCAGAATGCCTAGTGGAGACAACTACATCACATATCATCATACAATAAAATTAAACAAACTATGCACACGTTGTTGTTTTTCCAAACTGAAGGGGAAAGATGTGAAATGAACTCAGTGTGAACAGACCAATCTAATTTTTGCCTGAACTCCAAATATTCTCTTCCACCACATGCGAATAAGTCATTCAGGGCCACTCCAGGTGAATTTGGCAGAAATAACCAAACCGAGATAGAGAAAATACCATTCAATGATGGCTCCTCTGCTCCAGCTCCCACTGGGAGGCAGACAAAAGAGGAGGAGGACATTCTAAAGTCCCTTTTTATTGTGGGGAAGACACTTGAGTAATTTCCATCCCAATAAGCTCCGTCAGCTTTCAAGGGGTTAAGTCTAGCTTCCTGATATCCTGATATCTTGTCAGCAGATTGACTGACATCTTGGAAGGCCACACCAATCTTAGGTGCTGTGTGGGGATCATAGGCAGAGCAAGTGAAAAGGACACATATGTGCACAGCCCAAACAGGCAACATCAGTCCAGTCCACTCATGTACTCATGCTCATAGTTCACATATAGTCCATGGCTGGCCCGCAACAGGTCTCAACAGACTAACTATTGTAATAAGTACAAAATAGTATATAGTCTTAAGACTACATCCATACAACATGGGTTTTCCTGCAATAAGTAGTTTTTATTTTAACTTGCCATAAACAAACTAGCAATCAGGAAGTCAAAAGCTAAACACTTTTTCTGACTCTTTGTTCTGATTAAGAGTATAGAATCAAGTATTGTCAAAGAGAGTCTCTGCAGGAATTAACTTCCAGTACTATAGAAGCACTTTCTACATATCCCATTCATTTTATGTGCAGGTTAACTTTGTTTTAGAAACAAAGTTTCTGTGGCCCAGAAATGTTACCTTTTAACAGGACTCATTATCTAACTCACTAGTTACCTCTACCTGCTTAGTCTCTGTTTGTGATCCAGGTTTTCATCTTGATTTCAACCAAGTCTTCTTATTTTGTTGCTGGGTTTTAGCATCAATTTTGACATGCGATGGTACAGGTGCTAAGTCTACAGTTCTATATGGAAGTCTGCATTAAAGAGCAACGAGCAACAGACTTATCACTGACAGCATTGCCCCGGCTTCGCCAAGAACACTAACCTCCTTAACTGAGAATGTCTTTTGATGACACATCTGGCTGGGGAGGTGGTGATGGACCTGTCCACTAGTTGCATCTCTGGTGATCCTGACTATAAAGCAAGGAGGACCTGAGGGACAACAGGCAGAAGGAACATCGATGACTCTTCAATCTACCCTCTCACTTGGCTCATCAACTCTCATTCTGGACAGCACACTAGATAATGAAGGGTGTCAAAGGCAGTTCCCAGTTCCCATGAGAACTAACCCAACAATTACCTGTTGTACTTAATTGTCATGGAGCAGGCTTTCCAAGCAACTATAACCATAACAGAGTTCTAAGACATAAGAACTTCCCTTGACTCAAGAGTGTAAGAAAACATGTACAACATGAAAGTGTAAAGAAACAAACTACTCAGTGTTGGAAAAAAAAATTGTTATTGTAACCCCAGTAAGCTCAAATTTTATAAAAATATTTTTAGGATAGGCTATCTAACAGTCAAAAATTGCAGTTCTTACATTTTATTTCAATATTCTTACATTTTATTTCAACATTTCTAGAGCAAGTGTTGACTCTGATAGGAAAAAAAATCTATCTGGATCTAAACCTAAACGTGAAAATGGGTCCACAGGCACACTCTTCACCAATTTTCCACAGAAATATGCTGAGCTCCTGCCTCCAGGAAGGGTTACAAATCAGTCTCTCCAGATGAGAAATTTCCTTTTAAGTAACTCAGTTTGGGGACACTCCAGTCAATCTTGGGGAGCTGTAGAGTTTGGTGTTGGAGGTAACATTCCACCCAGGAAGCTGATGAAATCTGGTTCTTCTGCGTTTTTGATCCCAAGCCAGCGCACCCTCATTGCCTCGCTGATAGCAATCTGAACTCCAAAATCTAAACTTCGCTGATGGGTCTCCACGCTTTTTTGGTAGAGGTTGGTGTCGGCGGCAGTTGCGTTTTGAAAGGGAGCACAGAGAAAGTGCTGGCTGCTGACACACGGGGTCTTTGTAGAGCTGGGCCACTGCGGTGGCTGAGTCTTGGAAGAGGTGCCACAGCTGGTGCAGCTTGTGCTCCGGCTTCGCGGCGGCCGCCGCCTCCTGCAGCTCAGGGGACAGCTGCTGGTCCTGCTCTACCTGGGCCTGGCACTGCCGCTCCCACTTGGGGAGCCAACGCTCGGGCCCGTGCTCCTGGATCTCCTCCTCGCCCTCCTCCTTCCACTCCTCCATCCTCCGCGGCTTCCCGCATTCTCGCCGCTGCCGTGACCTCCCTCAGGCGGGGTCCCCCGCGGGAGCCTCTTCAAGGGCGGCCAGGTGGCTGAGCCCCGCAGCCTTTGGCGCCTCCTTGAGGCGGCCCAGGCTTCCTGCCCCGGGACAGTCGGCGACCCAGCCGCGCGGCCCTGCCCAATCCGGAAGAGGCCCAGGGCATCCTGGCCGGGGGTGGGGCTTAGGCAGTGGCTGTGCCCGCTGCACACGCCTACTGCTCCTTGCCCCCAGCCTTGGGTTGCGGCCTCCCTAAGGCCACCGCTGCTGCCCACCGAGCCCTCCACCTAAATCGGACTGCACCACCAAGCCCACCCCCGAAGACTCATTTGTGAGGCTTTAATGAGGAGGCATTGATACATTGAAGAGAAAAAAGAGCACAACACACACAGTAACTTTTTTTTTTTTAATGGAACGCTGATGTGGGTGCAGGTGACAGGGGCCTCAGGAGACATTAATGAATTGTTGGCATGACATCAGGGGCAGGTTGCTCTCTCTACCAGCTTTCAGAACCATTATTAGTAAAAGTATTGGAGTCTGTTAGAGTTTTTCAGGGAACCAGAACCAGTAGGGGATTTGTGTATGAGGAAAGAGAGGGACAGATTAGGAGGAATTGGCTCATGCAGTTAGGAAAGCTGACAAATCCCATTTTTTACAGCGTGAGTCATCGACCTGGACACCCAGCAAAGCCAATTGGGTGGCTGTAGTCTGAGTTCAAAGGACAGAGAACCAGAAGAGGCAATTCTGTAGGATACTGGAGCTGGCAAGTTCAAAACCTAATAAGAGCCCAAGTTTTAGGCCAAGTTCCAAGGCTGACAAAAGTGGATAGGTTGAAGGCCATCAGGCAGAAGGAATTCTCTCTTATTCAGCCTTGTTATTCCTTTCTGGCCTTCAACAGATTGGACAAGGCCCACTCACATTAGGGAAGGAAATCTCTATGGATTCAAATGCTGTCATCATCCCCAAACACATTCAGACACGGTCAGAACAGTATTGGATCCAATATTTGGGCACTATGAGGTCCATTCAAATGGACACAAAGTTAACCATCACACAGGGAAGGGCTGATGGGGGCATGCTCCTTTCCACAGGGGACTGGGACTTTGGTGGGTTTACTGGAGGATCTGTTGCCAGACTGGCAATGAGGGGTGTTACTGGACTAGACCTTGTCCATTTTCTGGGTTTCAGAAGGGTGGTAATGGCCTCTCCTGCAGCTTCTTTGGCTCTTCAAGTCTGGCCACCAGTGCTAAGATGGACCTTGCCTGTTAGGGCAGGCCAATGTGAGCTGTACACTAGTTGGAGTGACATGAATGGACCTAGGAAAAGAAACCTTGACCTTTCTCACCTATGTGAAGAATAGGAAAGCCAGGTTACTTGGAGGTAGACATTGAGGGAAGGATGACTCTTGGAGCTTCCACTTCTAGTCCTCTTCCTGCCTGAGGGGCAGTGAGTTTGCCCTGCCCATTCCTAATGCCCTGGTGACTTTTCCCTCTGCTGGCTATCCTACTGTTCCAAAGAGCTGCTTTAATTGCATTCTCTGAAAAGAAAGCAGTGAGCATAAGACTTTGCTCAGGATGAACTTCAAACAGAATTATGCAATGCTAACAAAGGCAAGTCTTTGGTAAAGACTCCAAAAGAGTGGAGTCTAACCCTTTCTAGGCAAATCTTATTCACATTTTGCAAACCTTTTCTTAGGGGAAAAATCTACCAATTGGAGGTTTTGTCTCAGTCAACAAGGGTAAATCAATTCTGCTCCCGAGTCAGAGCAGTTCTTCAGTATGCTGTAAGCAAGCAGAACCTTCATAAAGACTTTCATAAGTTAGAATATATAATCAAAGAGCTGATCATCATAAGGACTTTCCTAAGGTGCAATAGCAGAGGTGACCACACTCAAGTGCTATGTGCCTACAGATACACCATGCTGTGCACCTTCCATGCATCTTCTCATTTTGTCCCCAGAATAAAACCATGGGAAAGAAACTATGATTGCCCCCCTTTTGCAGATGAAGGACAGTGGCTTAGGGAGACGATAGAACCTGCCAGGATAGATCATCCTGGTGAGACTAGCCATGTCCTGCTCCATAGAACACATACATTTAACCCATTGATGGCACTTCGGGTTTACTTGTAGCTGCTATGGAAAGAAAGCTTTCACTTCAGTCTGAAGGCTCCTCCAGCCAGAGTCCTAGGATTCCAGCGCATTGGAGAAGGCTTTGTCCTCCACACACCAGGTGAAAGCAACAATGCAGGGCGCCCAGCAGAAGCAGTCCACTCAAGCTGCCTCACCTTTATTTCTAATGCTTTAGCCATGACTGCATTTGAGAAAAGGAACTTCTTGAGATGTCCACCCCCATCCCCAAATACTTGGTTGTGTAAAGCTTGGGCATGTCCTCTGCCAGCTTTAGCAGCTGGAAGGAGCTTGCAGCTCACCCATCACCACCTTTCAAAGCTTTCTAAAATGGGATAAATGGGTTTTCTTTCTTTCTTTTCTTTTTTTGCATTATAATTCTTATTACACATATACAGCACAATTTTTCATATCTCTGGTTCTATATAAAGTATGTTGACACCAATTTGTGTCTTCATACATGTACTTTGGATAATGATGTCCATCACATTTCACCATCCTTGCTAACCCTCTGCTCCCTCCCTTCCCCTCCCACTCCTCTACCTATCTAGAGTTCGTCTATTCCTCCCATGCTCCATCTCCCTACCCCATTATGAATCAGCCTCCTTATATCAGAGAAAACATTTGTTTTTTGGGGATTGACTAACTTCACTTAGCATTATCGTCTCCAATACCATCCATTTACCTGCAAATGCCATGATTTTATTCTCTTTTATTGCTGAGTAAAATTCTATTGTGTATAAATGCCACATTTTTTTTATCCATTCATCTACTGAAGGGTACAAAGGTGCGAAAAACATGCATTGGAGGAAAGATAGCCTCTTCAACAAATGTTGCTGGAATAACTGGAAATCCATATGCAACAAAATGAAATTAAACCCCTATCTCTCACCATGCACAATACTCAATTCAAAGTGGATCAAGGACCTAGGAATTAAACCAGAGAGTCTGCATCTAATAGAAGAAAAAGTAGGCCCTAATCTTCATCATGTGGGATTAGGCCCCAATTTCCTTAATAGGATTCCTATAGTGCAAGAATTAAAATCAAGAATCAATAAATGGGATGGATTCAAACTAAAAGGTTTCTTCCCAGCAAAAGGCGATCTGTGAGGTGAATAGAGAGCCTACATCTTGTGAGCAAATTTTTACCCCTCACACAGATAGAGCACTAATCTCTAGAGTATATAAAGAACTCAAAAAGCTAAGCACCAAAAAAACCAAATAACCCAATCAATAAATGGGCCAAGGACCTGAACAGACACTTCTCAGAAGAAGATATACAATCAACCAACAAATACATGAAAAATGTTCAACATCTCTAGCAACTAGAGAAATGCAAATCAAAACCACTCTAAGATATCATCTCACTCCAGTCAAAATGGCAGCTATTAAGAATACAAACAATAATAAGTGTTGGAGAGGATATGGGGGAAAAGATACACTCATACATTGCTGGTGGGACTGCAAATTGGTGCAGCCAACATGGAAAGCAGTATGGAGATTCCTTGGAAAACTTGGAATGGAACCACCATTTGACCCAGCTATCCCTCTCCTCGCTCTACACTCAAATGAATTAAAAACAGCATACTACAGGGACACAACCACATCAATGTTTATAGCAGTACAATTCACAATAGCTAAACTGTAAAACAGGTTCCCACCTCCCCCCATGAAAATCAGGGTGTTTAGGGTTAGCAGTTTTGCATGGTCTTGGAAGGAAAAACTGATAGTTTCAAGACCTCCCTCTGGGCAAGTGCTAGACAAGTGCTCCTCCTACTTTCCCAGCCTAGCTGGCTTCTTTTTTCTTTTAAAGTATCCACCAAGCAGGGATCTGTGGTGCACTCCTGTCATTCCAGTGTCTCGGGAGGCCAAGACAGGAGGACCACAAGTTCAAAGCTAGCCTCAGTGATGGTGAGGCACTTAGCAACTCAGTGAAATCCTGTCTCTAAATAGAATACAAAATAGGGCTGGGATTGTGGCTCAGTGGTCAAGTTCCCCTGAGTTCAATCCCCAGTACCAAAAACAAAACAAAACAAAAAAACACCAAAAGAAGTATCCACCAAATCACCTCACCTGCTTTCAGTTTTCCAAATTGTTCCCTAGTGTAGTTCCAAATACAATGTGTGCCACTGTTAATTGATCCCCCTTCCACCAACCTATGGAGTGGTCAGAACCTCTAGCAGGCTTCACCCTCATGTAAGGTAGCAGTATAAACTTTCCATGAATATAAAAATGTCCTAGGAGCAAGTTGTGGGGAAAAACATGGCAGTTAGATTTTCTTGAAATGTTGGAGAGAGGAAGGGTTTTCCAAGACGTGTCATTATAATTGTTTTTTTAAAGATATTTTTAAAATTATCTTTTGTTGTAGATGGACACAATACCTTTACTTACTTATATGATGTTAGGCAAGTGCTCTACCACTTAGCCACAACCCCAGGCTCTAACGTACCTTTTATTTAAAAAGTTTCATCTGATGCCAGAAGGCAAACAACTTACACTTGCATTTTGCATTCAACAAGTTAGCAAAACACTTTCTACAAATGAAGCCACCAGTAAGGACTTTCATGTCTTAGTGGTTCCTTAGCACAGGGCTGATTGTATTGCTGCCTATTCCCACCATATCCTAGAGCCTCAGAAACTCCCTTCCTTACTGCATACCTCAGTTCACCTGCCTTCCCAGCTTTTTTCCTCTCTCCAAATGGGATCCTAATCCATCAGAATATTAAAACTGGAGGCTGCTTTCAATAGGTAGAAAGACGTAATTAAAAAAAAAAAATGTTAGGGCTGGGGATGTGGCTCAAGAGGTAGCCTGCTCGCCTGGCATGCGTGCAGCCCGGGTTCGATCCTCAGCACCACATACAAACAAAGATGTTGTGTCTGCCGAAAACTTAAAAAATAAATAAATAAATAAATAAATATAAATATTAAAAACAAAAGATTGTTGTAAAAAAATAAAAAAATTTAAAAAAATGTTAAATTGTTAGCTTCCATCATTCTCTTAAATTCCTGCTGTGGTTTTCAAATACATTTTAGGCGGAACTCTGTTGTGTCCCTGCCTGCTCTTTTAGAACACCTCCAACTTAGAGTATACTGTTTATCTGATAGGTAAAACAGCACTTTTTTTTCTTCGTATTCAACACATTGTTAAAAAGAATTCAGAGAAAGAGAAGTCCCTACCTAAAAGGCCTAGATTCTACAAATTCACATGATTCTGGAACACCATCATTCCCAGATTGCTTTTGAGAATATCTTTATTTGAATACTTTGGGAAACGGAAGATTAAAAAAAAAAAAAAGTTTCATCTCTTTACTAAAGGAACAGGAATACTGCTCAAAAGCATTGAAGCAGAAAACCTATCCTGATGAAAAAGAAAATCCTGAAACTTTGAGAACAGCAAGAAGGAAAATTGGGAGAGTATGGAGCCCTGAATTACGAGTACAGATATTATCAGTACAGTGCACTTGGACAGACACACCTGATCAGCTTAGTTGACAATCATAGAGGAGCTGGTGGACAACAAGTTGACCAAGGAGGTTGAGAAGTTCCTAAGCCTCCTCGACCTCTTCCTCTTCGTCCTCGTCGAACTCTTCGTGTTCCTCAGCAGTGGCATCCTGATACTGCTGGTACTCGGCCACCAGGTCGTTCATGTTGCTCTCGGCCTCAGTGAACTCCATCTCGTCCATGCCCTCGCCTGTGTACCAGTGCAGGAAGGCCTTGCGCCGGAACATGGCAGTGAACTGCTCAGAGATGCGCTTGAAGAGCTCCTGGATGGCTGTGTTGTTGCCAATGAAGGTGGCTGACATCTTGAGGCCCCGCGGTGGGATGTCGCACACGGCTGTCTTCACGTTGTGGGGGATCCAGTCCACGAAGTAGCTGCTGTTCTTGTTCTGCATGTTGAGCATCTGCTCGTCCACCTCCCTCATGGACATGCGGCCTCGGAAGATGGCAGCCACTGCCAGGTAGCGGCCGTGGCGCGGGTCACACGCTGCCATCATGTTCTTGGCGTCGAACATCTGCTGGGTGAGCTCAGGCACCGTCAGGGCGCGGTACTGCATGCTGCCCCTGCTGGTCAGGGGCGCGAAGCCAGGCATGAAGAAGTGCAGGCGGGGGAAGGGCACCATGTTCACGGCCAGCTTGCGCAGGTCTGCGTTCAGCTGGCCCGGGAAGCGCAGGCACGTGGTGACCCCGCTCATGGTGGCTGATACCAGGTGGTTGAGGTCACCATACGTGGGGGTGGTCAGCTTTAGGGTGCGGAAACAGATGTCATACAGGGCCTCGTTGTCGATGCAGAAGGTTTCATCCGTGTTTTCCAGCAGCTGGTGGAGAGAGAGGGTGGCATTATAGGGCTCCACCACCGTGTCTGACACCTTAGGTGAAGGCACGACGCTGAAGGTGTTCATGATGCGGTCTGGGTACTCCTCCCGGATCTTGCTGATGAGCAGGGTGCCCATGCCCGAGCCAGTGCCGCCCCCCAGTGAGTGGGTCAGTTGGAAGCCCTGCAGACAGTCACAGCTCTCTGCCTCCTTTCTCACCACATCCAGCATGGAGTCCACCAGCTCGGCTCCCTCTGTGTAGTGGCCCTTGGCCCAGTTATTCCCTGCACCACTCTGGCCTGCCACAGGAAAGAGAATATGAGACACAAATGGACAAGGATTCTGGATGCTGTCATTTGCACTGTGGAGAAGGTGGGACTAGTCTTACAAAACCTTTTAGATATGCTTTGGTTACCTAAGACTGTCTGCAAGACTGAATGTTATCAGTGAACCTCAAAAATGCTGGGGATCATCCTAAGGTGAAAAAAAAAACAAGTTGAGGAAGAGAAAATATTTAACTAAATTCAGCTGCCTCGGCAATTAGGGGAACCTTGTTCACTACTCTCATGCAGTACGATTAGGCAAGAGGAAGGCACAGTGTGATCAGAGGGAAAGAGGGACTCTAGGCAGCTGTCTGAATCTTGGTCACAGGCTGTGCTTTTGGCCTTCATTACTTTAATTTGGTTCACTGTTTTCCCTGGTCCCTTCAAGTGACCTGTAGCCTATTAAGCCTCATTAAAAGCTCTTCTTGCTCTTGAGTCTTTCCCTTTGGGGCTTGTTGTAAAGGAGGCTGACATGAAATCCTGAGTTGTCCAGAGTGACCAGAGATATCTCCCCACCCCCATGCAAGGGGTTAGGCCAGGACTGGGGCCATCTGTGGACACAGTCTCACCTGGGCACAGAACACTGAGAACTGTGAAGTGTGTGGCTGTCAGGAAGAAGGTGAGTCACAGTCCCATGGACCATGAGGACATACCAAACACAAAGTTGTCTGGCCTGAATATCTGGCCAAATGGTCCCGATCTCACCGAGTCTACCGTTCCTGGCTCCAGGTCCACTAGGATGGCCCGAGGAACATATTTATTGCCTGCAGGAACAAAAACTCACTTACACCTCTGCTTGGTAAAGAAACATGGGTAGGGTCATAATTCTATGTAGTTCTCACAGAAGAATTCATTACAGAAGATTCCAACATTTGAGACAAAGGAATGAAAAGGGAAAAAGAGAAAAGGGGAAAAAAATGCTGTGCATGCTTAGTCGTGTTAAATAAAAAAGGACTATTAAGGAAGTATGAAGTCTGTTTTTTGAGGTTGGCATTTTATATGAATGTGCAAAAATGCATTCCTTTGTCATTTCTATGCACCTAGGACTTTTCCTCTGCCACAGTATGGGAAGCAAGTTTAATATGCATATACTCACCAGCTGCTTCATTGTAGTACACATTGATTCTGTCCAGCTGTAAGTCACCATCTCCATGATAGCTGCCTGTGGGGTCAATACCATGTTCATCACTGATGACCTCCCAAAACTGAAATGAAAAAAAAAAAAAAAAATCACTCATGGCCCTGCATCCTGTCACTAGAATGGCCTTGGCATAGTGGTCAGAGAGTTAAGAGTGTCAGACTAAGACCAGAGAGCTGGTCTATTTCCCATATCAGTTGCTTCCTAGGGGCTTGGAAGTCTGCAGGGCACGAGCCATATATGGTCACAGACTGATGGGCTGGAAGCACATTGGGAGAGAAGGGGGCGACCAAGAACCTCTTGCAGGAAGCAGTGGGCACAGTGGGGCTGTCCCTCCAGGCAAGTTTGAATGTCCCTAAATCCCTGCTGATGGATGGGTCCCAGGATGGGTTCTAGCAGGACCACGGATCAAGTGGCCCCACTCCTTGCACAAACCTCAGGCAGCTTTGAAGGGTACAGGTCATTGCCAGGCATGTACATGTTGTCCTCTGGATTCTAACCCTGGCAAGGAATGGGTGAAGGAGGGTAGGCATGGTGTTGGGAGGGCATCTGAGTGGCAGAGGAAGAAAGTGGCCATCATGAGGAAAAGTGTGCCCACAAAGGATGGATGTGTCCCTAGGTAATATAAAGGTCACTGATTCAAGGCACACCTAGCTCCATCACCATATTCATGTGCCGCCCTGGCACACCTGGTAGCCGCGCACGCCAGACTCCCCCCCTCAGTCCACTCTTATCCTTGGAACCCTTTGCCCTGGCCTGTGTCACGCAGGGTCCACTCCCCAGAGATGTGCCCACCTTGGCGCCGATCTGGTTGCCACACTGGCCTGCCTGGATGAGCACGATTTCACGCATGATGCCCAAAGCTGGTGAAGGAGCTGAGGTGAAGGCCTCTTTGGAGCGAGAGGAGGCCAGAGCTCTTGGTTTAGGAAAGACTGCCTCAGCCAGCAGCTCTGCTTTTCTATCCTGGGACCGCCCCCCGCCCAGCCCCAGTGACGTAATGCTGGGCGGGGAAATGAGAGGTTACCTATGAAAGGGATTCAAATTGAAGGAGCAAAAATGCTTGTGTAAAGCCCCAGGTGATGCCTTCATCATGAATATGAATTCTACTTGCAATACTAAGGGTTGGTCTGTATCAGAGGTGGAAGCGAAAATCAAGTCACCCATGAGGAGTCTCTGGGCATTAGCTCTATCTTACTTAGTCCTGCTTTAGGAAGCCAGACCTGGGAGTACTCCCAGCATATAGGCAGGTGCCTGCCTGGTGCCTCCTCTCAGGCTGGGGTTGGATATCAGGGACTCTGCTACTACCCCTTTCGCCCTTGGACAAGCTTCTGGGCCTCCACTGGACAGCTTGTACCACTCATACTATTCACATTTGTCCAGGGCATGGCCTCCACCTCCACACCACCCCTGCCTCCAATTCCATACTGTAGCACAGTGCTTACTAGCTTTGAATTCACTTGCCATATGGTAAACACAGGTTCATCTAGTTCTGATAAGCACCTTGTTTCTACTCCCAAACAGTAGGAGGTGTGGGAGGTGAAATTAAGATGTTTCCAAGTTTCACCTGACCTAGGTGCACACATCTTTTCCCAGTTGTTCAAACAGTAATCTAGGTACTCCTGTTAAGAATTTTTACAGATATAATTAAGGTTCCAAATCAGTTCCCAATTAGTTGACCTCAAATAGGGAGATTATCTGTGCCTCTTCTAATCAAATGAGCCTATTGATTGATAATTAACTTAATGACCACCAAGGCATGAGTCTAAACAAGTTGATGTTCATGATGTTCCAGGGGGCAAGACAGAAGTACCTCTACTGAAGATGTTTGATTTGGCTGGGAGGATCTCAAGCTCAAAACCAGCCTCAGCAACAGGCGAGGCACTATGTAACTCAGCAAGTCCCTGTGTCTAAATTAAATACAAAATACGATTGGGGCTGGGGCTCAGTGTTTGAAAGCCCCTGAGTTCAATCCCTGATACAAAAAAAAAAAAAAAGGTATTTGATTTGTATTACTGCCCCTCCCCCTTCATAAAGAATCTGAGAGGGCTGAGGTTGTAGCTCAGTGGTACAGCTCTTGCCTAGCACATGTGAGCAACTGGGTTTGATCCTCACCACTACATACAAACAAATAAAATAAATGAAGACATTCTGTCCATCTACAACTAAAAAAAAAAAAAGATAGAAAAGAAGAACCTAAGAATTGACAAGTAGCAGGCTGACATCAATCATGGGAAGGAAAAATCACAGTTCCTCAGCTAGTTTCCAGATCTAAGGTGGTTCAAGTTGAAAGCCCAGAATAGAAGGGAGGGGCCCCTGATCCTTTCTCACAGGGGTAGTCATTTACTATCCCTTAACAGTAACTACAGAGTGAATAAAGAGGAATGCTCAGAATCTCTAACCAAGGATCTGCACTAAAATGGATTTCAAAGGACCGAAATCACCATTGTGGTCCATTGATTAGCATTAGAATCTTTGTATTTTTCCATTTTTGAAAGTTGGCATCTCTCTATGTTGCCCAGGCTGGACTTGAACTCCTGGGCTCTAGTGATCCTCCAGCTCAGCCTCTCCTGGAACTGGCACTACAGGCACCAACATAGTGAACAGCTTAGAGAAAGGTTTTATGGAAGCCTCGTGATAAATGGAGACCTGACCAAAGTCTATCTCGCAATGGGTAAAGTGAGTCTGGTCTCACTCTTTATTTCTACAGTCACTGCTTCATATCCTTGCAAGAGCCAAGCAATCTTCCAGAGGACCCCAGCAAATTTTCCTTCTATCTCATTGCCTGCAATTGTGTCATGTGCCTAGGTCTTAACCAACAATGAAATGCTGGGCCATGTCTCCTAAAACAAAGATAACCTGCTCATTTAAAAAAAAAAAAAAAAGGAGGGTATGTAGAAAGTGGTTCTATGGCACTGAAAGTTAATTCCTGCAGAGACTCTCTTTTACAAACCTTGATACACTCTATAAGAACAAAGAGTCAGAAAAAGTGTTGAGGTTTTCATTTTTTCTGATTGCAATTTTGTTTATGGCAAATTAAAATAAAAACCACTTATTGCAGGAAAACCCCAGTCCTATGGATGCAGTCTGAAGACTATACACTATTTCTTCCTTATTACAATAGTTAGGCTGTCGAGAACATTTGGAGTTCAGGCAAAAATGAGATTGGTCTGTTCACACTGAGTTCATTCCACATCTTTCCCCTTCAGTTTGGAAAAACAACAATGTGTACAACATTAATTTTTCAGATTAATTTTATTGTATGATAATATGTGATGGAGTTGTCTCCCTAGGCATTCTGATTCTCATTAAGTAGGTTGATGACTCATTCCAAACAAAAGTGTGCTTTTCAGTATTATATTAGTATCCTCTAGAAGAGAGTTTCAAGAAAAAATAAGCCCCTCTTGCTATAGAATCTAAATGCATTCGAGTGCATGGCAAAAAGGATGAGCTTAGCCCCCCTTGAATAGCTGGCTGCTCAGCTCCTGCTCTCCTTACACTTCCTCACATCCCACAATTTCCTACTTTTTGAACTTTGGGAATTTCTAGTCCTGATTAGGTTGTAGAAGGGACTGTTTATAATTCTGACCTCTGTTGAAGTTGTCTGGGTTTTACAAAGTGGAAACATAAAACTGTGTGCAGAAAAGTAATTTTTCCCTACAATAAATTTGTAAAGTAGTGTGCGAGCACGTGCACACACACACACAAACCTCCAGAATATTTGGAGATACTAGTTATCATCATCTCATCTCAAAAGGAAAGAGGTATAGAATGCCATGTGCAGTGCCCAGAGACACACAGATAATGATGGAGCCCGCACACAAACCTGGATCCATCTAAGTACCTTGGTATTGCTCCTAGCTCCCATTGCCATAAATGTCACTCAGCATCCCAAAATACCAACTCTAGCCACAAACCAAGGCTCCATTTTATTGTAGGGACAGACAAGGCAAGGCACGAAAGACAGCAGGAAACAGTTTTCTTTAGCTGCAGCCAGGTTCAGACGGCATAGCTTTTGCTGTAATCAATCAATCCCCTGAACCCTGAGTACAGGTAGTTTCAGAATTTTATACCCAGCATATAATGGGAGGGGCTCAGAAGTTCACAGTCTGCAGAAGTGAACATAAAAGCACCTTTTCTTTCACTGTTTTGGGCAAGTTAACCCTTCAAAGACAACACCTGAGAAGGGGAGAGCTTATTCTCCCCTTTCCTCCCCCTGCCAGCTGTCACCACTGAGCCTAATTGGTAACTTCTCTTATCTTAATAGACATCTCTGTGAATCCCCAGCTCAAAGCCAGAGGCCTTGTTTACACATTTCTACAAACTACTATACTAGATATATATTTGTGAAAAACTAGTAAAGGGGGTGTCCAGCACCTGGAGTGCTGATTTCTTCCAGGAAAGAGGCCAGATAAATTAGGGCAACAGGAAAATAGGAAGTTTATCTCATTGAACTATTTTATTAACAGTCATAAAATCAGCCATGGTGAAGATTTCTGGAAAAACGCAGTTAAGATTTTCTGTGGAGAAAGGGGGTGCCACTACAATTTCCCAAGTCTCCTTTTAGTTGACACAAACCCAAGGTGTCAACTCATATATAAGACTTTGCTCCTTGCTTCTCTCCTGTCTGGTGTGACTTTCTGGCCTGGCCTCAGAACATGCAGTTGGACCCTCAGTGATCTTGCCATCTACAGAATCAGCCCTCTGTGTACATTGTGCTCTTGCTTCCTCTTTCTTTATACAGCAGATAGTTAGTTACCAGTGTAAAAAAATCAGTGGATATCTCTAGAAAATTATTGCATAATTCTAAAGTGCAGTTTTTTTTATTTAAAAAAATAAATAGACTTCCAAAACTTAAAAAAGAAAAAATTTAATAATTTTAACTTTCAATTTTAAATGAGAAAGTGACATGTTTATTGAAAAACATTGATAATGTCTTTAATTTGTTAAATAGGCTGGAAAAGTTAAATTATAATAGACTAAATATATTTACTGTATTTTCAGTTTGAATTCTATGAGAATAACCTAACTTCCCTACCCAAGAGAGAGAAAAAGTATATAAAAGTAGTAAATCATTTATTTTTATCAAAATAATATAAGGCAATTTTTCCATTCAATAAATGAACAAAACAGCCAAAAAGACATATTTACTTAATAAAAAGTAAATAATTTGAGAGAAGATGAACTCTATTATTACATTTTAGTGAACAGAAAGACGTATTTGCATGATGGTTTTAAGCTGTCCAACAGCCTTCACGAAGGTTTTGTAGTTGACGGCAACGGAGATTTTCCTTTCATCTTAGCTGCCTTTTCCATTTTTACCTGTAAATTTAAAACATTCATTTATTTACTAAGTAGTAGACCATTCTAAGGAACAAAAGATTGCACATACCTCATTTGGATTCAGGCCTTATTTATCACAACCATGTCACACAGTTAATAAGCTGCCATATACTAAAGCCAAAATCCTTTTTTTTAATATAATTTTTATTTTTGGTTGTTCAAAACATTACATAGTTCTTGATATATCATATTTCACATTTTGATTCAAGTGGGTTATGAACTCCCATTTTTACCCCGTATACAGATTGCAGAATCACATCAGTTACACATCCACTGATTTACATATTGCCATACTAGTGTCTGCTGTATTCTGCTGCCTCTCCTATCCTCTACTATCCCCCCTCCCCTCCTCTCCCCTCCCCTCTTCTCTCTCTACCCCATCTACTGTAATTCATTTCTCCCCCTTGTTTTTTTTCCTTTCCCCTCACTTCCTCTTGTATGTAATTTTGTATAACCCTGAGGGTCTCCTTCCATTTCCATGCAATTTCCCTTCTCTCTCCCTTTCCCTCCCACCTCTCATCCCTGTTTAATGTTAATCTTCTTCTCATGCTCTTCTTCCCTATTCTGTTCTTAGTTACTCTCCTTATATCAAAGAAGACATTTGGCATTTGTGTTTTTAGGGATTGGCTAGCTTCACTTAGCATAATCTGCTCTAATGCCATCCATTTCCCTGCAAATTCTATGATTTTGTCATTTTTTAATGCAGAGTAATACTCCATTGTGTATAAATGCCACATTTTTTTAATCCATTCGTCTATTGAAGGGCATCTAGGTTGGTTCCACAGTCTAGCTATTGTGAATTGTGCTGCTATGAACATCAATGTAGCAGTGTCCCTGTAGCATGCTCTTTTTAGGTCTTTAGGGAATAGACCGAGAAGGGGAATAGCTGGGTCAAATGGTGGTTCCATTCCCAGCTTTCCAAGAAATCTGCATAGTGCTTTCCAAATTGGCTGCACCAATTTGCAGTCCCACCAGCAATGTACAAGTGTACCCTTTTCCCCACATCCTCGCCAGCACTTGTTGTTTGACTTCATAATGGCTGCCAATCTTACTGGAGTGAGATGGTATCTTAGGGTGGTTTTGATTTGCATTTCTCTGACTGCTAGAGATGGTGAGCATTTTTTCATGTACTTGTTGATTGATTGTATGTCCTCCTCTGAGAAGTGTCTGTTCAGGTCCTTGGCCCATTTGTTGATTGGGTTATTTGTTTTCTTACTGTTTAATTCTTTGAGTTCTTTGTATACTCTGGATATTAGGGCTCTATCTGAAGTGTGAGGAGTAAAGATTTGTTCCTAGGATGTAGGCTCCCTATTTACCTCTCTTATTGTTTCTTTTGCTGAGAAAAAACTTTTTAGTTTGAGTAAGTCCCATTTGTTGATTCTAGTTATTAACTCTTGTGCTATGGGTGTCCCATTGAGGAATTTGGAGCCCAACCCCACAGTATGTAGATCGTAGCCAACTTTTTCTTCTATCAGACGGCGTGTCTCTGATTTGATATCAAGCTCCTTGATCAATTTTGAGTTAACTTTTGTGCATGGCGAGAGAAAGGGATTCAGTTTCATTTTGTTGCATATGGATTTCCAGTTTTCCCAGCACCATTTGTTGAAGATGCTATCCTTCCTCCATTGCACGCTTTTAGCCCCTTTATCAAATATAAGATAGTTGTAATATTGTGGATTGGTTTCTGTGTCCTCTATTCTGTACCATTGGTCCACCTGCCTGTTTTGGTACCAGTACCATACTGTTTTTGTTACTATTGCTCTGTAGTATAGTTTGAAGTCTGGTATTGCTATACCGCCTGATTCACACTTCCTGCTTAGAGTTGTTTTTGCTATTCTGGGTCTTTTATTTTTCCATATGAATTTCATGATTGCTTTCTCTATTTCTACAAGAAATGCCGTTGGGATTTTGATTGGCATTGCATTAAACCTATAGAGAACTTTTGGTAATATCGCCATTTTGATGATGTTAGTTCTGCCTATCCATGAACAGGGTATATTTTTCCATCTTCTAAGATCTTCTTCTATTTCTCTCTTTAGGGTTCTGTAGTTTTCATTGTATAAGTCTTTCACCTCTTTTGTTAGGTTGATTCCCAAGTATTTTATTTATTTTTTTTTTTTTGAGGATATTGTGAATGGAGTGGTTGTCCTCATTTCCATTTCAGAGGATTTGCCGCTGATATACAGGAATGCCTTTGATTTATGCGTGTTGACAAAATCCGATCCTTAAAGAGACATGATTGCCTGTTTTTAAATGCTGTGATTTTAACTTTACAGAAGCATTTTAATAAAAATAATATATAAATAAATATTGCTTTAGAATAGAGGATCAATTAACTTGAATTGCTATTAAAGAAATTTTTTTAATACTTAAAAGCCTAACTATACATCCAGCCTGTGCACATTGCCTACAGTTACAGAATGCACCTAAGCCAGCCAGACTGTCTCTGACACCTGGACTCCTTTAAGGATGCTTCCCTGTAATTCTGGTGTCTATATTCCCAAAGGCCTTGTACTCCTCCACTGGAGTTCAGGCAAAGCAGCTGCATACATTCACAAAGTGGCAGCCTTCTAACATTTCAGACACATGTAAACGCTTCCCATGGGATTAAAGAACACAAAGAAGAGCACAAGCCCACCTACTTCTTACCCCCACTCATATTCACACACCTCAATTTTCATAGGCAAGAGAAGTGGACAGAAAATAAAGGGCATGGCAGGTGGAGACAAGGCTTCCTAGCTTCCAACCTGGGAGGGATAGTGTGAAGAAACCAGAAGGGACCTGGTAAAACCAGTCTATCCAATCCCATCAAATCAAAGCAACAAATTCCCAATAATAAAAGTAATAAATCTAACTTGTACTTCTCCCTCATTATTTTCTCTCTCCTCTGTGAAACAAACCTCATTCAGGAACCATGCATTCATGTCACTGTCACACACTGTTATCAGTCAACAGGTCATCTGAAGGACCTCCAAAGGACACCCTACTCTAAGGCAAAGATTACCGGTTTTGGGGGGCGAAAGAAGAGCATTTGAATTCTACCTCTTTATTAAAGATTTGGGGCAAGTAATTTAACCAATAGTTTCTCATTTGTTTTTAAAAAAAGTCATAGTAATAGCTATGTCTCAAGGTTGTTGTGAAGGTATAAGTAAGATTATATAGATCAATATAATTGATCAATAAGTACTCAACAATTGCTGCTCCCCCTGTCTCCTCTCATTTAGAGCCAAATGTTAGATTTGCAGTAACACTTGGTAGGAACAACTACTGGAAATTGAACCCAGTGTCACTTTACCACTGAGCCACATCCCCAGGCCTTCTTATTTTTTTATTTTGAAACAAGGCTCACTCAGTTGCTGAGGTTGACCTGGAATTTCCAATCTTCCTGCCTCAGGCTCCTGAGTGGCTGGGATTACAGGTGTGTTCCACCATGCCCAAGTATATTAACTCTTTTTTTAAAAAAATGCAGCAAACATGCAAAACAACAAACAAAAGCAGTGTTTACTCACTTAAAATAATACTTAATACATCCATCTAGAGTCCCAAGTACCTCCTTCTCCTACTTTCCCTTTCTTTTAATATTTATTTCCTGGGGCTGGGGATGTAGCTCAGTGGTAGAGTGCTTGCCTAGCACTGGTGAGGCACTGGGTTTGATCCTCAGCACCACATATAAATAAATAAGATAAAGTTATTAAAAAAATGTTTAAAACAATTAATTCCTGCATAAAGTACCTTGCACCTAGCAGATCTTTCATAATTGTTTCCTTACTAAAATTCTCCTTTCTTGGGGAAAAGAGAACAAGCATCATCATAGCAGAAGAAAATAATTTGACCTGATATATAAAAGAAGCAACTTTTCAATAACCTCTGAAAGTAGCTGCTAAACCATGTTACCACCAAGGCTTCAACTGTCCAAACCAACTTACTTTTATTATAAGATTCTTCCCACACCAAATGTTACCAGTGATTGGCAAAGGATAGAAGCAAAACCCAGATACCCACATAGCACTGCTCTTGAGAGGGATCCTGAACCAAGAGATACAGTTTGCTAATTGTCCCTTTCCTCTCAACAGTTCTGGAGTAAAAGACAGGGACTACAGATGTGTGAGATACATGTCAACTCAGAGGAAATCATTCCTGTTGGGGTTTCTTAGATTTGAACACCATTAATCATACAGGCTAGACAGGTTATAAGTTGTCTCATAAAGCCATCAATCACACAGGCTGGAGAGTTATGAACTATATCTCATAAATCCAGACATTCCAGGTTTACTGCACTCTGGATGGGCCTGGAATATCCTTTAAAACATTCATAAATAAGATCTCCTTTCATTATCTTCCCACAAGCAAATACACTGGCATGTCTTCAACACTGTCACACTACCCAGGCCTCTGGAGGACACAGAGTTCTAGAACCCAGAACAATTAAAATCAATCTGTGAATGTGTGTGTTCCAAGAATGAAGATCAATTTCATTATAAGCCCTAACCTCAATGAGGCTGCAAAAAAAGCAGTTTTTAAAAATCACTCTGGACATTTCATCTCCATCCCTGATGTCCTCCTACTACCTCTTTTCTCTTTGTTATGGTCTAAAAGTTTCTGACCTCCACCCCCAAATTCATATGCTGAAACTTTGGAAGTGGGACCTACAAGCAAGGATTAGGCTATGAGGGCTGGCACCTTGTACATGGGATTAGCACCCTGTGAAGGAGGCCCCAGAGAGCTGCCTTGCCTTGTCTACCACGTGAGGGCATAATGTGAAGGCGCCATCTGTGGACCAGAAGGCAGCCCTCACCAGACACTGAAATTGCACACCTAGATCTAAGACAGTCAACCTCCAAAACTGAGAAATAAAATTATATACAAACCACCCAGTTTAGGAATTTTGTTTCAGCAGTCCCAACAAACTGAGACAACCTTAAGCCAGAGCTTTCCAAAGAATTTTCAGCAAAGATAGAAAAGTTTAATATCTGTGCTGTCCTTTAAGGCAGTCGCTAGCCACATGTGGCTTCTAGGCACTTGAAATGTTTGTAGTGTGACTGAAGTAATTCATTTCAAATTTTAAGTCATTTAAATTTAGACTCACAGAAGCACTTATGGTGAATGGCTATAGCACAGATAGTTCCATCTCGAAAAAGTTCTACTGTCCAGTTAAGCCTTAAACACTGATCAGGACTCTCCCCATTTGTTTCAAAAGTCTTCATCAGGAAAGCTAAGCTAATCTATCTCCCACTCATTTCCTTTGCTCTTGGATGGTAAATTTATTTGGTATTCTTTTTCATATCTGTGGTTATTCAATGAGCTCTTATCTAAGAGTCATAGAGGATACAACAAAAAGTGATAGGAGGCCTGGGAGTGTAGTTCCGTGGCAGAATGCTTACCTAGCATACATGAGGTCCTGGGTTTGATCCCCAGCACCACAAAGAAAAAAATAGCCTTTACTTTTGTGGGGTTTGCTACTTAGTTGGAGAGATTATAATACCCTAACAAGAAAACAGTCCTAAAGGAAGCAGTTTCTGCCATATAGCTGAAATGCCATCCCTCGTAGTGCCTTAAGCCAACAGACTTTCATTTAACAAAAACCAAAGTCAAATTTCTCAAATATGAACACTGCTATGAAACTTTTGGAAGTATAAAAAAGGTCTTTGTAGTTGACATCCATGAAGGCAAATGTCAATTATGTGTTAATTTTTTTTTTTCCATAAATAATTACTTACACAAAACTTAGTACATATAAGGCAGTACACTAGGTACTAGGAAAAATACAAAGATGAACAAAACACTATGCTTCTTCTCCAGGCCTTCACACTCTGGGGAGAAGTGATGAAACTGGCCATCACTGAAAGTGGGAACACATCATACCACACTGCTTGGGTCCTAGCAATTGTTAAGACCTTTGTTTAGTGGTCTCTCTTTTTTTTTTAAAAAAAAAAAAGCTATCAGGAAATTTTAACTTGAAACCAAAAAAACCTGTAAAAAGAAATAGTACAGATTAAGAATTCAAGGTATATTCAATCTTCATTTGACAATTTGTCGGTTTTTATGATACATGTTTTATTTCTAATGAGCACATATTGTATATATTCATGAGGCACAGTGTGATATTTCACTACGTGTACATAAGTGTAATGACATCAGGGTAACTGGCATATCTATCGCCTTAAACATTTATTTTCTCTAGTTGTTGAAAACATTCTAAAATCCTACTAGCTATGTTGAAATGTACATTTTATTGTTGTCAACCATAGAAACCCTTCTATGTTACAGAACACTGGAAGTTATTTCTATACCTCTGTACCTGTTAACCATCCTTTTTCTATCCCCCCTCCCTGACAATCACATATTTTAAATTTAAAAATAAATAGATCTGGTACTTTAAGAAAACACAAATTCCAGATACACATGGGCATGGGGTTATAGCTCAATGGTACAAAACTTGCCTCGCATGAGTGAGGCCCCGGGCTCAATTCCCAGCAGCAGGGCAGAAGGGAGTCCATATAATTTACAAATATGCTGACAGTTGATATTGTTATTTTATTTGTATATTAATCAATATTTATGACCTCTATAAATCAATCTTAGTATATATCACATTATTCATTAGTCCTGCTTCTTTCTGAATTATTCTATGTAAACCTCCAGGCCTAACACCAACTATAAGTAAAGACTTTGCAAATTATTTTTTTTTATATTCCACATTCAAAGTATAATCATTCTATAGTGTATTTGTTACAAGTAAATGCTTAATACCAGTGAATTTCCTTAAAAACCTACCCTTTCCTGATATCGCCTTTCAAAGAAAGCCATGTCATCCTCATCAGGTCTCCTTAAGGAAGAATCTTGACTACTTGTGCCTACCGACATGGAAAAAAACTAAGTAATGACATATTTATGACATATATTCCCCCAGAATTAAAAAAAATACAATGAAATATTTCTTCCTGCTAGGTGATGTTTTATTTTCTGAATGAGAAATGGCCCAAGAAGTCCCAATACCTAATTCTTTTTAAGTAAGCATGGCATCACAAGACAGAAGTAAACCAATAGCAGCAAACATTCTCTCAAATATTCAACTGGCTGTATTAACGCAACGTAGCTATTCCATATGAGTACACTTAGCTATGTCCAACTTTTGACATTACAACTAGAAATCCATGTTATGCTTTGTACATGAAGGATAATATAATACAAAAGTATGATAAATGCATGATGTAATGCATTGCTGTCTGAATTACTGAGGCTTTACTGAAGCCTTGTATAGGCAATCAAATGATGATACTGTCCGCTTTGAATTTTAGCCATCTTTCATAGTATTTATTTTGTAAAATTAATGAAGTACTAGCTTGTAGGCTAAAACAAATTTAAAACTGCTTCAGTAAGGAGAATCTAGTTTTCGTTGTAGATCCTCTAAAAGCCTATGGAGAAAAGTTCACCTTCAGTACAAATGAATGTCTTCATTAGGTGCTTTCATTTCCAAAACAAAATATCAACCTAGACATCTCTTCTTCTGGTTTCTAAAGTATATAAATTCACCCTCAACCAGCAACCATAAAAGCATCTAACCCCAGTAAATTTCCACAGGGTGCATCATATCGTCAATTATCTTTCACAAAAGCTTTGTTGAGAAAGCTTCGAATATGAAAGGAAAATCCACACCTCTGGAAACTCTGAGTCTATTCCTGGATCAGGTTGGACCATTTAAACTATGTCCTTGCAGACTCCCTTTCCCAGACTTGCATTTTAGTGGTACATGGATCACTCTTACCAGAGGCGACTACAGAAAACTAGCATGCATAGTCTATACTTGCTGAAAAGTAGCTCTCGAAAGCTCTTTTTGGATGTCCTTGGCCACTGCATCATTGAAGGTCACTGTACCAACTTCTTCAAAATTCAGTGTTGGTATTCCATGCATTGGCACTGGGAAACTTGTGCTTTCTCCTTTCCAATAAGTTGAAAGGACTTAATCATCTCACATGCCCCATGCTATGGCTGCCCCTACACTCATTCTAAACTGAGGCTTAATGCAACAATCATATCAATCTTGAAAGCTGCATGATTGTGTTTTGTTGTTGTTGTTGTTCATTTTTTACATTCAATTTTTGCTTCATTGAGTGTTGATTTTTTTTAAGCAGCATTAGAATCTCTTGTGGAGAATGTCAGGGTGTATGAAGATACAAATAAAGTCAAAGAAAGTTCTCATTTTAAAATATTAAAACCTAAAATATACCATACCAATTTCCAGAGCACTTGCCTAGGTAGGAGCCCCACCACCGACAAAACAAAAACCAAAAAATCTTTAATTTCTATCCTCAATATTTTCATTTTTTTCAATAAAGGAAATACAGAATAATAGTTGTTTAAAATGAATTTATTTGCTCTTAATATATGAATGGCAAAATCCTCCTAACCCATGGTTATCACTGGATTACATCCCCTTGGGGAGAATCCAAAGTATGCAGGTAATCAATCCACTAGAGGGCACTCTGATTCAAACACCAGAGCCATAGAACAAGAAAAAGTTCTAAAATTTAATTTTTAGTATTATTATCAGATTCCTTGTTATTCTCAGATTTATCTATTTTTCCCAATAAAAAATGTAGTTGCTTTCTTTCTTGCAGTGTGTGCCAATATAAAAGTTTAACGTTGAGGTCAAATTGTGGAAATAGTAGAGAGAAGCTTACTACGTCCAAAAATATTTCTCACTCTAATTCATTACCATTTGTTAGTGTTTCTGGAGAAGAACTAGATGGTCCTTGCAATGCTTTTAGAAATGGGTGGTCCATGGCTGTAAGTGGGGAATTTAAAAATTCAACTGAAGGTGCACCTGAGAACAAAACACATGCAGAATGAAAATCTGTACTTATAGGGATACACACAAGTTATTATATCTAATATGAAGTAAATTAGAATCTAAGAAGACTCATTGACAAACTTTTTTTTTTTAGCTTTCTTGAGACAGAGTCTCTCTGAGTTGCCTAGGCTGACCTTGAAATTGTGATCCTCCTACTTCAGCCTTCAAAGTCATTGAGATTACAGACTTGTGCCACCATGCCCAGCAGAAAACTCCTTTCTACAAAAAAGAAAATGTTAGCTGGGTACAGTGATACATGCCTATAATCCCAGCAACTCAGGAGGCTGAGGTGGGAGGATCACTTGAGCCCAGAAGTTCAAGACCAGTCTGGACAACACAAAATCCCATTTCAAAAAAAAAAACCCACAGGAATTTTTATTTCAATTTTTATCTGTGACATAAAGGAAAATGGTTTTAAAAAAAAGTATTTTTTGCAGTTCTCAACACCTTTCTCCAAAATATTTTTTATATGAATAAATATTGTCCACTAGTGTACCTATGTCAGCAAATCACTAAACGCTAATATGGTTACAACCAGAAATCTCTGGTTGACGAGGATAGGCTAAGTGTATTTTTAATCTTTTCCTGATCTAAAAAAAAAAAAATCCAAAAAAGTATAAAAAATAAACAAGAAAGCTCCTTCTCCAATGACATAAGGAAATATATACCATCCACAAACCACAAATTACAAAGACCTTAGTGCCTGGACTTGGTACTTAGTGCCTGGACTTCTGGACCAAAAGAAAAAATGCAGAGAAAATGTGCACTTCCTCCAAAACTACCACTTCCCCACAGCCCTGTCCCCACATATGGGCACAGGGAAGGAAAGAAACTTTTAGCCCTAAATGGTTTTAAAGTTAGTCCCATCTTGTAATGTGAACAGTATAGAAAAATTGTTCAGCCCTTCCAATTCTTGGCCCCCTTCCTGTCCCCAGCCACTCTCTCATGTGGCACATGAGAATATAGGAGTGGGAGGGGAGGTTCAGGCCCATTCAGGCCCTGGTGCTGTCCTCTGGTTGATGCATGTGTTGCTGATCTCAGATGCTCAAGGATGGCCTAACTGGTCATTTGGTTCCTCAGCTTGATAGGACCTGGTGGCCTCATACTGACTCTCACTAGAAGTACAGACTCCCTCAAAGCTTGCCACTTCTTCTATGGGATCCCCTGGCTCTTACGACCCATCTTCAGTTCTGGCCCTGGGGCCACCTTGTCCCCCTGTGACAGATGTCATGGCATTACCATTATCTCACATTTGAGCTACCTGACAAGCATTCCCTGAGAGCTAGGAATGATGGTCCTTGTGTACCATAAAGGAACTGCATCCCAGCCAGAGGTCACCTCTATTTAAGGGCCTACATGGCTACAGGGCCCCTCTACCCCTGGGCTCCCCCCCCCCCCACTTGACTGTAGGACAAAAACAAAGTATGGAAGCATATATCTCCTCTCCTCAATCTCACCTCTCCGTACCTTCTCCCTCTATTCCCTCAGAGGCCAAGAGGAGAGATTTTCCTTTCTGAATACTATGAAGATACTTGGGTGATAAAATACTAGAAATCACAAAAAGGCAACGATGCCAGCTACTATCACTGTTGTTTGGCATTTTTCTGAAAGTAGTAGCCATTAAATTAATCAAAGTAAGAGGTTCATAAATATTGGAAAGAGGCAAAAATACCATTATTTGCAAAATATAGTAAAATATGTTTAATAACTCTAACATTAAGTAATAAGACTGATAATAAAAATAGCAGAAAACATTTGCTTTTTTATAAACAAACAGAAAACATAATGGAAGAAAAAACATGCATTACACTTATGTATTTTCTTTTTTAGTTATATAGATGGACACAATATCTTTATCTTTATTGGGTTTTTTTGGTGCTGAGGATCAAACCCAGAGCCTCACACGTGCTAGCAACTGCTCTACCACTGAGCTATAGCTCCAACCCAGGATAGCTATTTTTAAAAGAGATTAAATAACTAGAAATAAACTTAATTAAGAACTGTGCAGGACTTCTAGAAAAACAATTTCAGAATCTCACTTAGCTTCACAGAAGAAGATAAATGACAACATTTCAAAAATATCGATTATTTCTAAGTCAAGCTACACACTCTATGTGATCTCAATTAAAATGATAATTCATATTTGTATAATTTCACAAAAAGATGCTATAATTCAGTAAAAATTAAAAGGTAAGAATGACTCAGAAAAATTCTAAAGTAATAAAATTAAGGTTGTATTAATAAAAACAATATGGTAAATTGTACAGAAATAATGAGGCCAACTATGGAGGCCATAACGTTCTGTAGGTTGAAACCAAACATTAGCTGAAGAACCCAGATCAAGCTGTTAACTTCTATGTAGTTGCTTACTTCTCAATAGATGAATGGCTTAAGAAATTGTGGTATATATCCCACACTTACTATATGGTTGTATTATACACTCCACACACAGTGGAGTCCTAAATATCATTAAAAAGAATGAAAATTATGGCATTTGCTTGTAAATGGATGGAATGAAGGGTATCAAGCTAAGTGAAATTAGCCAAACTCAGAAACTCAAAGGTCGAATGTTTTCTCTTATAGGTGGAAGCTAGAGTAAAAGAAAAGAAAGGGGGAGGGAAGAATAAGATGACCTAAAGAAGCAATCAAACACTAATAGGCAAGAGAAAGGAAGTCTAGGAGAGTAGAGGAAGGAGAAGGGGGTGGGACAGGAGGGAAAAGGGCAAAGGAACAGGGAGATTATGAACTGAAATCAGTTTCTACGCATGCATGAATATATCCAGATGAACCCAACTCCTATGTATAACCATAAAACTCTCATATTAAAAAAAAACAAAAGGAAGTTGTTTACTTCTCTGTGCTAAGTCTCCTAGTGTGTAAAATAAGACTACTCTAACCCATGGAGTTGTTGGGAGGATTAAATGAGGAAATACACATGAAACGGCTGGAATAACCCCTGGCACAAAGCCTCCACCATCATCATTATCTTTGTACTTGTATTTGGATTCTCTGTAACTGATACATGAGCCTATTACAATCATGTACCTATTAAAACTGCAAATTCTACTTTACTTACGGAATTTAACAAGTTAGATATCTAAACTACCTAGAACAGAAAAATGCATAAACATATCAAGACAATCTGAGAAGATGAACATAAACAGGAGGAATAACAAATATCAAAACACCATGAAGCCATCAAAATTTTGTATACATAATATTGGCACAGGACAGACAATCAGGCCAGCAATACAAAATAACAAGTGTGATAGACTATGAAAAAGTTTCCTATTATTTGACAAAGAATGGTGTCGGATAACTGTCCACCAATTTGGACAAAACCTGAAGTTAGACATAACTACCTCATAGTTTCACAAAAAAAGACAAAAATTCCAAATGCCTGAAAAAGCTAAAAATGTAATTGCATATTAAGGTAAAATGAAGAAGAGTATGTTTCTAAAACTAGAGTAAGAATAAATTTGAATAGGGAAGGCCTGTCCAAAATTTAAAAACTATGACTTTTTTCCCCTAAGATTAAAAGATGGGCCTAGGGATATAGCTCCGTGGTATAGCATTTGCCTGGAATGTGCAAGGCCCTAGGTTTGATCCCCAACACTGAAAAAGAAAAGATTAAAAACAAGTGACAGATTGGGGGAAAATATCTGCAAAATACAGAAAGAAAGAAAGGATTAATTTTCAGAATATATAAAGAAGAGTTTGCATAAATCAATGAGAAAAGATAACAGAGAAAAACAAGCAAAAATATAAAATAAATATAAAAATAAATAGAATAAAGATATTGTGTCCAACTACAAGCAAAAATATGAACAGACAATTCATAGAGAGTAAAACAGCTAATAAATATGAAAAGCTCCTCATCTCGCTAATAACTAGAGAAAGCAAATTGAAACAATAAACAATTTCACACAACAGACCGGCAAAAATTAAGTTTAGAAATATCAATGATGAGCTCAAATGTGAGAAAGTAGGTAAGCTGAATCACCACTAGAGGAATTAAAAACAAGTTCTGGGCTGTGGATATTGTTCAGTTGGTAGAGTGCTTGCCTTGCATGAACAAGGCCCTGGGTTCAATACCCAGCACCAAAAAACCAAAACAAAACAAAACAAGTTCTAGGGGCTGGTGTTGTGGCTCAGTGGTAGAGCACTTGTCTAGCACGGGTGAGATGCAAGGTTCAATTTTCAGCACCACATAAAAATAAATAAAATAAAGATATTGTGTCCAACTATAAGTAAAAAAATATCCAAGAAAGAAAACAAGTCATCGGGCTCCATTGCCAAAAAATGGACAGGGGGGCCCAATGCTCCGGGGCCCAAAACCACAAATATACGGAGCACTGGAGGAACCCAGCAACCCCATCAGGGTAGTGCCCAGGACACATTGTCCATCAGATCCCTCATCAGACAAACCAGAAGGAGTGCAGGGTTGGACATCTGCGCCTCCGCCAGAGCAGTACTAACTCCAGAGATGGGAGTTCAAATCATTCCCACAGGGGTGAAAGGACCTCTTCCCAAAGGAACAGTAGGCTTATTATTGGGACGCAGCTCTTCTACTCTAAAAGGACTTATGATAAGTCCTGGGGTAATTGCTCCCGATTATGAAGGTGAAATAAAAATTATAGCCAGTTCTCCAAAGGGTATATCAGTAATTTCACCAGGAGATAGAATAGCACAGTTACTAATAATACCCAGCCTACATGATAAATTTTCCAGTCGTACTGTAGAAAGAGGTTCCAAGGGATTAGGCTCCACAGGTGTAGATTGGGCTATGCTTTCTTTAAATTTAGATTCTCGCCCCATGCTAAAACTAAATATTCAAGGACATGAATTTAATGGGCTACTGGATACAGGTGCAGACCTTAGCATCATCTCTCGTCAAGAATGGCCAAAACATTGGCCATTACAACAAGCCACTCAAACGCTTCGAGGCCTAGGAGTGGCGACTAATCCCCATA